ATAATACATTCAGCTTTACTAAATATTCCTGAATAAGAACTAACAACTGTGTGTACTGTAGTGAATAATCGGTGATTTACAATATCAACCGAATATGTATAGATACTGTCACTTTTAGGCTAAAACTACATAAAATGAACAACTAAAAATTAAAATGTGTGTTTAAAAAACCCAAAACGATGTCTTCTGTGGCGGTTTTTTTTCAAATGAGGAATGTTTATATCAATCCTATTAGTCCTTATAAGACGCCTACTTACCGTCCTGAGGTTTTTTGCAGCCAATAGTCAATAAATATGCCAGACAGCACAACTATCTAACGCAAACTACATTACAATCTTAAGTCAAGTCTATGCAGAACTACATCAATTGGCTGAGTCTCATCCTTTTTTATGAAATGAGTTTATCGTTGCGTCAAAAATTTCTTTAAAATGTTTATGGAGTATTATTATTTTTAAAGTGACCACCCGAGTTGAAGGAAAGGTCGATTAAATTCACATGTAAACAAAACCACCCACCGTTCTTGTGATAAAATGACCTGTGAAATGGATATGTTATTATCAGTCATAAGGTTAATCATGAGTAAATTGAAGATAGCTAAATGTAATTAAAGTACTGACGTACTGTTTAATCGGATGTTCCCAAGGTCCGATGGCTGGCGAATTGATGATAATGATTTCAATATCCGCGCAGACTGTTTAAAATAACTTGCAGTGGTTTTCCTACGCTCAGTGTCAAACATTTTCGACATACTAGGGAGGTAACATATCTACTAGTTAACCAATTTGGTAGGTTCTAACGGCACAGTGGGTCAACAGATGCATGGATAAAACCCAATTTCTAAACAAATTGAAGAATATTAGGAAAAATCATGTTGAACGCTGATTTTTTTCCGATTAATGTTGCCTGTATGAATGGGCATTGATTTTTTTTAAATATACCATGGAGTTTTTACATTTATCTCTATTCTTAATGTCTTTTGAATATAAACACACAATTTTATAGATATAAATAAGAATATTGGGTAGATTTAAAAGTAAGCAGCTCAACAACCTTAAACAATACGTCAACATCATAGATATTTTATATCCAGATAGTCTATCGGAAACATAGCCCCGCTTCCTGGACTTCTGAAGTTTCTTAACGTCACAGAAAAATAGTTTTGGAAGAATTTGAGGTTTAATTGCAACTTAATAACATATTAAATCGACATCTAGAAACCATCAAGCTGGTGACATATATAATATAATAAATATAAAATGCACTGGAACTTAAAGGTATAATTATTTTGTTCACGATACCAATCCCTACACACACTTGACAAAACATAAAGCAAAGAAACAGTACAGTTATTAGTTGTGTTTAGGTATTATATGTTTGTCTTGTAATGATAATTAAATCGTAATTATTCTTCTCTCATGAGGTAACTTTGATTAGTTGTAATAAAATTATTGCATTCGGTGCATAATATTTGCGCGCAAAATCATTACGTTTGCGCACAGCTTTTGATAAATGATTTGCGCGCATTCAATTACAGGAAAACACGGATAAATTTAGATCGAGATTTAGATAAACACAGATAAATTGTATTGATCTCAAATGACGACTTACGGGGAGGTCGGGCTTGCAGGTGTAGTCACTTCGATGGCCATTCATGCGTTTGTTGAATGGCTGTTCTGTCTTGCCAACATACTGCATGCCACATCGACACTGAAGAAGGTATACAACATTCTGGGTTTTGCACGTTACATTGCAAAATATAGTGTACACAGACCCGGTGGTGTGGCAAGTAAATGTTTGAGTATTCAGTATTTGTTGGCAAGTCAGACATCGTCTGTTACCACACGACTTGCACCATCCTTCAGTTGAACAGCTTTCATTAGAGGAGACATCAGCTCTCACAATTAAGTCTTTCAGACTTGCTGGTCTCCGAAAAGCTATGACAGGAGGTTTTGGAAAGATCTTGGATAATTTAGGGTGCTTAGCAATAGTTTGCCAATTGCATGGTATGGATCAAACGTGAAAGGTTAGTAAAGGCGGGATTATATGTTAAAACAAATGGAACTATTTTGCTGCGCCTCTTCTGTTTGTATTGTAATAGGTCATTGCGGGTGTTATTGTTAGCACGTGCAAATCCCTTATCTATGTCCCATTTCTTATAACCTCGTTTGGTCAAAAATCCGTGAAGTTCCTGTAACCGTTTAGTGACAGCCTCCTCAGAGGAGCAAATCCGCTTTACTCTGAGAGCTTGACTATAGGGGATACTTTTTGTACAGTGTTTGGGGTGACAGCTTTGGGGAGAAAGGTACTAATGTTTATCTGTAGGTTTACAGTAGAGGTCTGTTGATATGACACCGTCCTTTATAGATGTAGTTGTGTGTAAAAAAGATATTTTAGAGTCGGAAATTTCATATGTAAATTTAATTGACTGGTGGGCGTTGTTTGCATGTCTGATGAAATCATCTAGTTTAAGTTGGGATTCAATCCATTTCATGTCAACATCATCGATGAAACGGAACCAAGACAGAGGTTTGGATAAAGATGTTGAAATGATTTGTTTCTCTAATTTGCCCATGAAAATATTGCCGTAAGACGGTGCCATTTTCGTCCCCATCGCTGTACCGTTTATTTGAAGGTAATGTTCACCATTAAAGGTGGAATTGTTGCATTTCAGAACCAGAGTAAGCAGCTGGACTAAACATTCGGTAGGTGGTTCTAAAGTGTTGCGCGAGTCCCACATTTCCTTACACGATTGTATTCCGTCATCATGAGGTATGTTGGTATACAATGAGGTGACATCTAGAGTGACAAGGAGAGTTTCCGGAGGAAGAGGGTTCATGGATTCCATTTTACGAAGGTAGTCTGTGGTGTCTTGAATGTGAGAAGGAAGATTTTCTACATGAGATCTTAAATGAAAGTCTACGAATTCCGAGATTTTCTCAGTCGGGTGGCCGTTTGCGGGTACAATGGGTCTACCAGGGTTGTTAACCTTGTGTATTTTGGTGAGAAGATACAATCGACCAGGCTTGGCGTTCTCTGGTTTTAAATATCCGAATGTATCCTCATCTTTGTGACCGTCATTGTGCATGGTTTGTAACGCAGTAATAATTTTGGAACTCAACTCGGAAGTAGGGTCATGGTCAAGCTTCTTATAAAATCACTCATCAGAGAGCTGACGCTCTGCTTCCGCGATGTAGTTATCTTTGTCCATTATATCAACGGCACTTCCCTTGTCTGCTGGTTTTATCACAATATCATCTCGGTTTATCAGCGATTGTATGGCTTTTTTCTCGTCAGAAGAGGTGTTATAAAACGACGAGTACTTGTTGTTAGCTAGATGAACAACATCCGATTTGATTTTGTCGATAACGTCTTCCAGTGTAGCAGAATTGCTGGGTTTAGGAATCCATGAACTCTTCTTTTTAAAGCGCGAAATTCTGATTTCTCCATCCGAGTCGGACGTGTCTGAGTCTTCCTCATTATCCTCCTCATTATCCTTGTTACCAAAGTATAATCACTATTCTTTAATTCTGAGGGTTCTGGCAAAATTTTTCAGGTCATCTTCCAGTTTCATATTATCTATGTTACTGGGCGTAGGGCAAAAATTCAAACCCTTAGACAAGACTTTAATTTCATCCCCAGTTAAACATGTTAAAGAGACTGTTAACAAATTGACAACCGTGTTGTTAGGATTGACTGGAATTTGAGTTTTTCTTCGAAATCTACGGTTGCGAGGCTTTTTAGTTGAATTTGAAGGTCTGTTTAAAGGTTGGTTAATTTGCACACCATCACGTTTAAATTTGTTTATCTGCTTGACGTGAAGCTTATGTGATTCAATGCGTTTGATATCACTAAGACGTACTTGAATTTCGTCAAGTTCAAGTTCAGACAATTGGTCACGAGATCGGCAGTGTACAGGTGCCAGACTGAGTGCAGGTAAAACATTATTTGTGTGTTGATTTACGGATATCTGTGTGCTATATATATATGAGGTGGGTCTTTAATGCCTTTTAGTCATCAATGTCCAATAGGCTAGGCGGTAGTTCATTCCAGTTTATGCAATCTAATTAAAATTCATATCTATATTAACTCGCTTGCTCGTATATATTACGAGGATAACGAAATCAGAGATATATATTTTAATTAGATTGCAGTTTATGATGGTTCTTTCGAAGAAGCTATGTTTTCGTTGTTTAGTACTTGATCCTAATCTAACTTGGCAAATCGGCTTTGGTGGAACTGACGAGTCAGTCTTGCTGTTGTCATCAAGTTGTCTGGCCTGAATACGGACTGTAATTAGCTGGTGGATTACTTTGCGAAAAAGGAGTAGACGAGAATACTCATGTCTGATGAATCTGGCTTCTTTCTCTCCTTTAGACTATTTCCAGTTGTGATCAGTTGTTGTATGTGTTTTTGGATATTTGGGTCCCAGACACAGCTAGCGTATTCTAGTGTTGGTCTAACTAGGGTTATATATGCCTGATGTTTTATATTCTTTGGACATTTACCCAGATTCCGTCTTATAAAGCCTAATGTTTTGTTTGTCTTTGTAGTGACAGGAAGAAGCCTATCCGTGGTTTCGAGCAGGATAAGCGGTCGGTCTTTCTCAATTAGCGTAACGTTTCTTCTTCTGTGTTAATCAATTCACAACGGAATAGTTTCATATTCCTCGAAGTTATGTCAGCTAATGACTTTCTTTTTATAACCACACAGATAATCAGATCAAGTTTTCCATGATAGAATCAAGACTTGAGTTAATGTTCATAGTTATCATTTAGAATGGCTGTTTACTTTTGATTAGTGTTTATCCTGCCATTGGTATTCTTTACGGTGCAAATTTGCCATTGCTATAAAGGAACTGTATATTTAGATATACAATTCATCGCTTAAACTATATATTAATAGTGTATATATATATGTGTGCATCAAATTAAGAATATTTCATATACGGAAACTGTAGTCCAAACCGTAAATTGTCAGGAGTTTTAACAATTTTATCATTTCCGGATTAAAAATGATTAAAAATTTTGTAAAACAAATTTTTACAATACATTATTTAGCTAGTTGTGCTCAAGCAAAAAACCGATAATAGAAATCGATGGTAAGAAATTGCTCATTGGCCGTCATTTGTATGCAAAATATTTTCTGCAAAAAAACACTTTGCAAATGACACGAATGTAGAAAAGTATACACCGCAAATTATGGGTTGCAAAGCGGTGTGGATGGGGGTTTACAGAAAAGAGAATAACGGGTTACTAAAATAAAAAAAATTAAGAATAAAGTAGAAAAAATAATACAGAAAGATGGCCTAAAACATGAAGAATGAATGAAGGAAGATCTTCCACCCAGATCCTCAAAACTGACAAAAGGGGGAAAAAATGCAAATGAAAACAACTTAGGGAGCAACGATTCGATTCTCTGGGGTGGGGCAGGGATTTGTTCCCCAAGTCAATTTTATTACCCAGAGCAGAAAATATGTGGGTTTTTTTTCTTGGCCAATCAGGAACAAAATAATTTTTTCACCTTATACATGATATATATATCCTCGTGTATTGTGTTTTCGACCTACTTACATATTTATCAATATTTCCCCTTTAATATGTTTGAACATATACATGCCTAATATTTTTTAGAGTCACTAGTATACTTATACATTAAATAATTGTATCTAAAATATATTTCGATCTTAAATATTTTTTTTTATTTCAGTTCATTAGATCGATGGCACCTTTGTTGACAAAAACTAGCGTCTTGTGTTTTCGACCTATCTAAGAAACGGGTCCAAAGTCAGAAATGACATGTCGTACAAATCCGGAATTGGTTATAATTTGATGCCAATGTTTATATCAAAGTTTTAGAGGCGATCAAACTTATGAATTAATGAATTAAATGGTGACATATACAACTATAAGATATAAAATATTATTTTGATATCTTTATTTGACTAGTTGTACACATTTCACATGAGGCACTTTGGAAACCTCGTAGATCCTTGTAGGACCTTGTATACAGTCATGTTTCTGTTCAATATACTTTAGTGAAGGCATTGTGAAGTGAGGTTGGTGAGTATTGTCTGTAATCTCCCCTGTTTCTGTGAATTAAAATTAATTGATATTTTATTTTTTTCAGCAAAAAGCTGTAAGGATCATCCACATTTCCGTATTAAAAATAACTTTTAAGTATATCACCTAACCACATGACAGTAGTGTGACGTAATGACCTTGATGTTAACTTCACATGCTAAAAGTCTTCGGCCATATTTCTAGAATATTTGTTTATTTTTGATAGATTCTTTTGGAAGGTAAAAATAGTATTAGTGAAAAGGTACAAAAATGTGATATCAAATAAAATAACGTAAATACTTAATTATAATAACTTTACTTGAAACATCTTCACCACATGTGGTATTATTTGCTATTGTTACTAAATATAGCAGCCAAATGTGACGTCACACGGGCATGCGCAGCATATGGGAAGTGAAAGTAGAATTAGGTCGAAAACGTAAGACGGTCGAAAACACAATACGAGACGATATATATATATATATATCAAAACATTTTTTTTACCCACAGAACAGAAAATATATATATATTTTTTTTTGGCCAATCACAAACAAAATTATTTTTTTCAGCATATATATATATATCAAAACATTTTTTTTAGACTTTTATAATTTTATGTTGTTTAAATATTACCATTACTTTAAGTTGAATTTAATGGTGTTTACTTTATTTGGTACATGTATATGTAAATACCAAGCCAAGTCAGTTTATATCTTTTTTCCGTTGTACTTTTTAAAGAGAGAGGAGAGCTTTGGCCATCATTTGTATGACGTCTTTGAAAGATCAGGTTGACAAGCTGTCTATATAACGTGTATAAAGTAATGATGAGGATATATACATATTAACTAGATACTGGTATATGAAAAAGAACAGATATGGGGCAATGGCAGGAAGACATCACCAAATCACCCAAATGCAATGCACAAAAAGACATCCATATCCTTTGTTTATCTATATAGAGCTTTCCACATGGTCTTCAACGCAGCAGGAACTACCCACCAACAGGCAGTCAGCTCTGGATGGCCCCAAACACAATAAGAGCAATCAAATTCAAGGGCATGTGCAGCAAAATGTCAAAATATCTAATTAAAACTAATATGTTCAACAAGACACTTTAATAATAAACACATGATTTTACTCGTATAAATATGATCAAAGGGACTGGTCATTTTCTTTCATTTGGGGGAAAAATTCATGTCTTTAGTGCCAAAAAATTATATTTTTATAGTAGGGGGAAGAGGTGGGTGAAGGTGGCCTGAGTTCGCATCACCAGTTCATAAATGAAAATTATTCACGTAAAGACATGTTAAAAATGCCCTGCTTGATTCCCAGATATTATCTTAAATCATTGAATTATATGCACAATCATGAGATTTACGATTAATTATGTAAGGAAAAAGCTATTAGTATTATCAGTGTTTTAATCATAAGGAAAGGGAGATAATCAGAAAAGCTGCTAGCACTAAGACATCAAACCATCAGTCTCTGATATTATTGTTCCTCATGTTAACAAACAAACAGAACGCATTAATGACTTGCATGAAAAAAACATTGAAATAAAGTTTGAAGCCAAATATGATGACACATGAGATATAGATATGACATCTGAATCAAGTATTAGACACTTCTGCTGAATAATACTATACTGATTTAGTATATTCATCAAAATACCTATAATTTTTGAATGTTGGAAATACAGAATTGCTCAAATCTTGTAAAATGTTTTTTGATGCCCCCCATCTGGAGTATTGGACAGCAACCCCTTTATTTTCCTCCCACCCCTTCAGGTTACAAAAGACCAGTCCCTATTATTTTCTAATTGCAAAATTTTATGCATACTTTCCTTCTGATTTTATCTTCATTTCCCTCAAAATGCATACTTAAATGTTTGGCACATCCTTGTATAGCAGTGTTTAGGAAGTTTATACCCCCTCCCCAGCCTTTCCCCCTTGAGGGATTTCAATAGTCTGTCTCCATTTAGACTGATGTGGCTTTTCTGTTATGACATCTGGTTTGTTATCTGCTCTAAAACTTTTGACTTCTTTGGATTTCCAACCATTTGGTATGAAGCATTATAATACTGATGAGACACGAATCATCGCAATGTGCTTGTGATAAGTGGTATCTTTCATTCTGTACATCTAGGCTAGTGATCAATGCCATCTTTTATTTCTTCAGCACATCAGAGCACTGTCGGGTAACAACTTTTTTTTTACACATTTTGCTGTTAACAACTATTATTTTCGTCAGATATTCAAAACATTTTTTTATTCAACTTTACTGGATCTATGTGATCACTGCAGATTTTGAGATGGTGCAGAATTCTCAGTTGAAGACATGTCATGAAACAAATTATGTGTTTTTATGACTTGCAGAAACTGTACACACCATTTTAATCATCTACTGTCACATTTTGACATGTTATTTGCCCTTAAATTAAGAAAATAGTGGTTAACATCTACTTTATTTTAGATAAACACTTGCATATAGTTACTTTGTAAATCAAACTTTATGATAAATTACTGTTTATGGATTAATGAGAACAGTAATTTATCAAATTTAATCAGTTGATAAGAATTATGGAAGTATTTTGAAGGTATTTGTACATGTATATTTGAATACAGGAAATTATTTTTTCTCAATGAAGAACAAACACCAATTTTAATTAAAAAAACAGTTTCTTTAATTTTTAATTGCTGAAAAAGTGCATTTTTAATGCCCCTTTCAGGAAATTATTAAGGTCAAACTTCAATAAAAAATATGTACCACACCTTCCTTTGAAGATTTCTATTTCCAATCTGACATGCCAAAATTACTTGATTGAAAAAAAGAAGATATTTAAAACCAGTGTCCCTTTAAAAATTGAAATATCAAAAGAATTTCTATCAATATGAAAAATTCTCTATCTTTGGGCAATTGAAGACAATTTTTTGAGTAAGATTTTGGAAATGAAATAAAACCATTTATTTTCAGTGTCATATATATATTTAATCAAAAATCAATAAATGATCTTATTAATAAGATGAGTTAGAAAAATTGCATACCATAACCTATGCTTTAAAATAGAAATACAACCAAAAGCAACCATTTACAAGTGAATTTATGGAGACCAGCTAGTTTTATCAACTGAAAAAAAATCCAAATATCATTCTGAATTTAATGCAAGAGTGGTATATCAAGTTTATTTTTATTCTCCACGATACCAGAGAATATGATTTTAAGTTATGCACGCAACTCTTCCAGTCTTTTCATCAAATGTTGTCCTATCCCTAGCTAAAAAATTGCTGGATCATAGCATCAACAATGCTTTGATTTTTTAATTCTTGGTGCAAACAGTTTTTTATTTTTTCTATTTTCATACACAAACTTTTTTTTCTCCAAAAAATCCCTGCCCCCTAGTTAATCAAATGGTTGCTCCCATATCAAGAGCTTCTTGAGGGCTTTGGATCTACCAGGTCCCTGACCAGCACATGCTTAGGACCAAGCTTAAGACAGTATCCACACCCCTCTCTTATATTTCATCTCCATGTATTAAAAAGTCTTTTTCACTCTGAAAAATATCAAGGTTTTTTATTTACCATGTTTACAGTGCAGGATTTTTTAACCTACCATTTACAGTAAAATATCTTCCAAATTCCAAATGCAAAATGCTACGTTTTTTATCAAATGTATAAATGCTGATCATGCTGATAAAATATGAACTTTAAGAAATTATGTGTATTTCTATTTAAGGAATGACTGTAATATTTTTTCTGTCTATGAAGAAATAACATCAAAAATGTGGTGCACACTGAATAACCTGCGTAGCGGGTTATTTTAAAGTGTGCACCACATTTTTTATGTTATTTCGAATAGACAGAAAAAATATTACAGTCATTTCCTATAATTTAATTCTAAATTCCATTTTAAACCGGAGTAAACCATAAAAAAACGTTGATGACGTCAGGGTCACATGACAAAATTATGTCCATGAGCTGATAAACATAACAACGTCAGCCAATCAGAAGAAGCGTTACATCCAAAATTAAATTATTGCAGGTTGTAATGATGAAATGACACATGTTTGATTACTTTATAAATTTGGGATGATGAGAAGAATTAGAAGGTTGTTTGGAAGAAAGCTTGCAGGTAACTAGTAAAGAGTTTAAGAATGTTTTAGGTTCACTATCTGTTAATGTTTATAACTGTAGTTACAGTACAATGGACTCAACAGAATGAGATCATGTGTTATTATCTTATAGATTCTGAAATTCCCAAATTTCCAATGAAAATATGACTCATTGAGAATGGTTAGATAATCAATAAATTATACTTTTCTTTCTTTTTTTATCCATTGTTCTGAATATTTGTTTCCATGAGGAGGCTGCAAATTACATATATATTTAAGGAGTTATAAATGTGTAATATTTAAAAAGGATAACACGAAAAGTATGGACAGGACAACAGACCGCACATACCACTCACATCTTATTTCTCCAAAAAGTAGACGAACAAACAGACAAACAACAATGTACAACACATATTCTAGAAAACCTGACATGGTTCAGGCACCAGATATGATGGGGTTTGAACAGTTTAAGTAGCTACAGAAAAACCTGACATGGTTCAGGCACCAGATATGATGGGGTTTGAACAGTTTAAGTAGCTACAGAAAAACCTGACATGGTTCAGGCACCAGATATGATGGGGTTTGAACAGTTTAAGTAGCTACAGAAAAACCTGACATGGTACAGACACCAAATATGAATGGGTTTTAACAGTTTAACTAGCTATGGTAGCTACAGCTGTTGGTTCAATGAATGTCGTTGCTCAAGAATCCAAAAAGTTCAGAAACAACAGGTTTCATGTAGTCTTGTCCTATATATCATTTTACGAAAACATTTTTGTTAGATATTCATGCATTTGTTTCAAATAAACTTGAGAAGTTAATTTTCATTTTCAGGTTGCAGCAAAAGTTTGGCTTTACTTTGTTTTAGTGTAGTAGCTGTATATTTATATTTGAATAGATCAAGAAGTCAGTTTGTCTTACAGGGTATGAATTAAATGTATTTACAGATTACTTTCAATTAATAATGTTTAATGGGAGAAATAAATGGTTGTTACATGCAAATAAGCAAGGACAACTCTAATAGTAATTTATCTTTTGTCAAACCAAAGATTTGAACATTGGAATTTGCTTCTTCTCTGTCTAGCAGAGGACATGCAGGATTAAGATGTAGGGTGACATGGCTTTCTGCACATTAAAAAATCTGACTCAGCATGTCAGTCTAGTATGAAGCAGGATTTATATTCATATCTCTTTAACACTTTTTCATCCTGATGTAAGTGATATTTGCCACTGGACACATAACCAAAATACATTATTTTCAGCATCATCATCCTTAAAAGAATACTTAGACTGGCCATATTTTTTTTAGATAAATATACACATGTAATTTGTCCTTTTCTACATGTATGTGTTTTAATAAAGAAACTTCAAAGATTAAAACAATTTAATCATTTGTGGTTTTGTAAACCTGGACATATTGCTGTTGTTAAATAAGATTCCTGACTTTTTGATTTAAACCAATTCTTCTACAAGTATATACAAAACTTGTACCTAAGGTAACCTAGTACATGTATATCTACTAAATCTAATAAAATTGTGTTCTAAGAATAATATTAAATACACAGTAGTCTGGGCTATACTGCAATCTCCATGTCCATACATCTGTTGGTCTGTTCATCCAACAAATATTTTGGTCACACTTGTCTCATGAACCACTGAACAGAAAGACTTCATATATGTTCAGCAGCTTGACAGTGGTGAGTTGTAACCTTTGGGCACTTTGGAATCTGTCACCTACTTTCTATTTTCCCAATACTTTAAATATTTCAATATGTTGAATGAACTTTTATTTTTTTGTCACATATTTAAATTACTCCAACATTATATTTGGTCACCAGCTTCATAATGATTAGTTATTTCTTTTATCTGTAGGACATCTACTTCCTGTTTGCTGATACTTAGAATTTTCCACATGTTGAAAGAAATTTTTTCATCCCACTTTTTTCAAAACAGAATGACTTCATATTTGATATGCAGCTTGACAGTGATGAGGTGTAATAATAAATGAGTGTTTTTTTGTCTGACACCTACTTCCTGTTTTCTAATACTTTCAATTATGAGTGGGACCCCAATTACTGTGGGGGTATGGTTAGCATTACAATAACATTCATGTTATTATTATTATTAAACCTCATTTTAAATAATTATCAATACGTCTAAATATCATAAAGTAATAATTATAAAATTTTATAATAACTATGTTGCATTTCATTAACGTATTTTATTTTTCAGGAGTGAAAGATGTCTGGGATGCAAATGGTGTACAGTCATTGGAAAAAGGTAACTGAAATGGAAATTCTATAATTTTTCTTCTTTTTTGTATTCTATAAAATATAATTGTCTGCTTTATTTCTTGCTTGTTATACTCTGTAATCTTCACACCTCCCTACCAATTAGATTTCTGGAGTAAATAACTGTGGATTAAACATGCCCAAATATGGTATCCAGAAACCTGTTATTATGAAAAAGAAGATGTGGTATGATTGCCAATGAGGCAACTCTTCACAAGAGACCAAATGACACAGAAATTAACAAATATAGGTCACCGTACGGCCTTCAACAATGAGCAAAGCCCATACCGCATAGTCAGCTATAAAAGGCCCCGAAATGACAAATGTAAAAAAATTCAAACGAGAAAAATAACGGCCTAATTTATGTACCAAATCAACAAACGACAACCACTGAATTACAGGCTCCTGACTTGGGACAGGCACATACATACAGAATGTGGCGGGGTTAAACATGTTAGCGGGATCCCAACCCTCCCCCTAATATGGGACAGTGGTGTAACGGTACAACATAAGAACGAACTATAAAAATCAGTTGAAAAAGGCTTATCTCATCAGATGGATACAAATAGAAATACATCTAACAAAAACACAGAGTGGACGTGGCCTAGTACTTGTACATCCCAACAACAAAAAGAGACTAAGTACAGATCTGAGAGTACTCGTAGTTACTAACAGCTAGTTCAAAGCCAATAACAACTAATAAAAAACATCATGCATCTAAGACTTAATTATCAATCATTACACATCCAACATCCAATGGATTGAATGTAAAGACGTCATAAACAGTCAGAGAAAAACATGACCTTGTGCAATGCCAAGATACAGGTATCGACAGATTGTAGATCCATGAATGTGCATATGTATATAACAATAATATTTAGTTTGCTTTGAATTTACTGATAACAAAATCAATATTAATACCAATAAAAACAATATTCAAAGATCTAATTACAGTGTTGAATTGGTAACCTTTTTGAATAAGTTTATTTTAAGGATCGATAAGTTTACCAGGATAGTTTCTAAATTTCCGGGGCACAGTAAACAACATCTCCGTAAAAATGAGGATGTGCTATCCCGTTTGAAATAAGTTTTCTACAGGTACAACCAAACTTCAAAACCAAATATTTATATAGATGATCTATGGAAGAATTTAGTAAAGGTTTTAAGTAATTTGTGGTAACGAAATCCCTGACTTAATAATTTACCAGTAATAAATAGATTACTTTCATCAAAATCCAAAACGTCACAACAGACAAGGGCATAGCGAACGAGTTGTGATATATAAACACTGTAAGAAGGTGCCAAAGGAACATCACCATCCAAAAAAGGAAAATTAACAATAGGGAACGAAAAGTCGTCCCTTTTGTCGTAAATTTTAGTGTGGAGTTTCCCGTGTAAAACTGAAATATCTAAATCTAGGAAAGGACAGTTTTTGTCTCGCCTTAACGGAGTCAAAAAGCAAGACATAGGTATGCTGTTTCCGGCGGCGGCGTCAACAATGTATTAGTTTGTGATTAGGTCTAGTTCATGGTGAACCACTAGTGGTAGGTCAGTGATATTTGGTCTGCAGTTGTATTAGCATTGGCACATCTCATTACCATGGAGATTGTTTGGCCCCGCCCCCTCAGTCAAGGTCTATTGACTTTGAAACTATGCTTAGTTTACATGTATTAGTTTGTGATTTGGTCAGTTTATGGGGACCCACTAGTGGTAGGTCAATGATATTTGGTATGCAGTGGTATTAGCATTGGCACATCTCATTACCATGGAGATTATTTGGCCCCGCCTCCTCATTCATGGTCTATTGACTTTGAAACTTTTGCTTAGTTTTCATGTATTAGTTTGTGATTGGGTCAGTTTAAGGGGAACTGTTAGTGGTAGGTCAATGATAATTGGTATGCAGTTGTATAAGCATTAGCACATCTCATTTCCATGGAGATTATTTGGTCCTTACCCCTCAGTCATGGTCTATTGACTTTGAAACTTTTACTTAGTTTACATGTATTAGTTTGTGATTAGGTCAGTTTAAGATGAACCACTAATGTTAAGTCAATGATATTCGGTATGCAAATGTATTGGCATTTGCAAGTTTCATTTCCATGGAGATTTTATAACCCCACCCCCTAATTATGGTTCATTGACTTTGAAACTTTTACATAGTTTACAAGTAAATGATTGTGTTTAGGTTTGTTTAAAGGGAACAACTTATGAAAAGTCAATGGTATATGGTTTGCAGTTGTATTAGCATTGGCACATCTCATTTCCATGGAGATTGTTTAGCCCTGTACCTTCAGTCATGGTTCATTGACTTTGAATATTTGCATAACTTACATGTTAAAGTATTGCTATTTTAATTTCAACATTTGCATTATCAAAATAACAAATAGGCGAGACATATCTCTGTGTTGCCAGTTTATTACCATTTACATTTGATTTATTTAAAGTAAGTTCCTCTGGGTAAATTTCGGAAGTATATTTAGAAAATTCTTGATTATTTATCGAAAAAATATCATCAAGATAATGGTAAGTGTTGTTGAATTTATCAATTAAATGCAATTTAGACTAGTCTTTACTGAGTTTGGTCATACACTGTGATTCATTACAGTACAAAAACAAGTCTGCTATTACAGGGGCGCAATTAGTGCCCATAGGAATACCTACAACCTGTCGATAAACTTTGTTGCCGAAACGTACGTAAATATTATCAAGGAGAAAATTAACAGCTTCAATCATTTCATCACACCTCCAGTAAGTAAATCTAGCATATTTACCTTTCTCATTGGAGAAGAAGGCTTATAATGAGTTGCAGCAAATATATTTGCATTTAGATTTACCAAAGGACCATTTAATTAAATAGGAAAACTTTTCTTTGATAAGATTGTGTGGAAGTATAGTGTAAAGAGTTGAAAAGTCAAAACTGTCAACAGAATCAAAAGGACCATCAAAAGCACGTAATTTATCTAAAACATCCAAACATTTTTTACACTCCAAAACTAGTTAATTCCACTATTTTCATATATTTTATCACAAAAGTTAATAATAATTTCTTTGATAGTAGTTAAGGAACTAGTTAGAAGTATATTGTATATTAAAAATATTTCATAGCCATTGTTCGAAACATTTCCTCTTTTTATTGAGGCATGTCTCTAGTGCTTTAGACTAATCAGAGAATGTTATTAATGACCAAATAAAATCTCTTCTCTGTTAATTTTTAAAGATATAAGAAACTGGCACCTTTTTATAGCATACCATCTTGGTGGTCTTGTGGCATCATGTTTGCCTCAAGTGCTTGAGGTCATGGGTTTGAACCCTGGCCTGGTCAAACCAAAGACTTTGAAAAAATGATATTTGCTACTTTTCTGCTAAGCACACAGCATTAAGGAGTTACAGCAAAGACTGGTCAGCTCTTATTCAGAATAATGTGTCTGGGTAAGGTGACATGTCTTCCTGCGGACTGTTTGTTACCTTGTGAACTAGCACATTAAGAATCCAGCTCAGCATGTCAGTCTAGTACAAAGCAGGGCTCATATTCATTTTGCATTTACATGTTTTCATCCTGAAAATGCATTTTATTTGCCACTGGATGTTAAACAGCCATCCATCCATCCTTTTCTAACTGATTTTGTACTGGATTTTTTATGCATTATTTATGCATTAGGAAATTTCATGAATTTATTGTTTTTTCAAAGAATCTCAGACATTACTGTAGTCTTCTGTATGTAGGTGCATCGTGTGGTGTTGTATGTGGAATAGGACAAAAATCATTTTATGTAAAAACAGGGACTGACAATACAATTGGACCAACAATTTGTTATAATGGTAAAATGTAAGTATCAATCTTCATAGACCTCTAGTTATGGTCCATTCTTAATGATATATTTGTAAATATTATGACACTTCTTAGGTTACAATAAATAACAGTGGAAAATATATAATTTTGGGCACATGTCCAGTGAGGTACTTAAGTTTCCTATAAATAAAGATGTAAATAAAATGCTATTGCTTTGGACTTTTGCATTTTCCTTCATGAAATTTTTTGGAAAAGTTACAAAGAATGTGTATAATCATATTGTCACTATAATCATGATAATTGGTGGTATAATATTGTGTGATATATACATTTACAGAATTATAAGTCCAGACAACAATAATGGAGGAAGAGGCCTTAATATGTTGGTTATTGACAGTAAGTATTTACCTTATTATCCGTCTTCTTTTACTTTCAGGGAAACCAGGTTTTGTTGTCAACAAATGCAGACATACTTCAGTTTAGAATTTTGGTAATTAAAATGATTCAAAGATACTATGATGGGTTTCTAAGTTAAGGCAATTAGCATGCTACCCAATTATGGCATACATTGTACTCAACGAAAAGACTACTTGTTTTTCCCCATTTTTATGCCCCCGCTGTAGCAGTGGGGGCATTAAGTTTTACCCTTGTCCGTCTGTACGTACGTACGTACGTACGTACGTACGTACGTACGTACGTACGTCCGTACGTCCCAAAATTGGTTTCCGTTCTCTTACTTGAGTTTGCCTCAACCAAATGTTATGAAACTTATACACAATGCTTATTACGACAAAACACAGATCAAGTTTGAATTTTGGTGGCGTCACTTTAACCGTTCTAGAGTTATGCCCCTTTATAAATGGAAAAATCTCAAATTTTTTAGTTTCCGTTCTCTAACTTAAGTTTGCCTCAACCAAATGTTATGAAACTTATACACAATGCTTATTACAACAAAGCACAGATCAAGTTTGAATTTTGGTGGCGTCACTTAAACCGTTCTAGAGTTATGCCCCTTTATAAATGGAAAAATTGCAAAATGTTTAGTTTCCGTTCTCTAACTTAAGTTTGCCTCAACCAAATGTTATGAAACTTATACACAATGCTTATTACTACATAATACAGATTAAGTACAAAATTTGGTGGCGACACTTACACCATTCCTTAGTTATGTCCATTTATAAACATAGAAATTGCTGAATTTTTCGTTTCCGTTCTCTAACTTTAGTTTGTCTCAACCAAATGTTATAAAACTTATACACAACTGTTCTAGAGTTATGCGTGTTTAGAAATAGAAAAATTGCTAAATTTTTAGTTTCTGTTCTCTGCTTAAGTTAGCCTCAACCAAATGTTATGAGACTTGCACACAATGCTTATTACCACAAAACTCAGATCAAGTTAAAATTTGGGTAGCGTCACTTTTACCGTTCTTCAGTTATTTGTTTCCGTTTTCTAACTTTAGTTTGCCTCAACCAAATGTTATGAAACTTATACACAATGCTTATTACAACATAATACAGATTAAGTACGAAATTTGGTGGTGACACGTTTACCATTCTTGAGTTATGTCCCTTTATAAACATAAAAATTGCTGAATTTTTCGTTTCCGTTCTCTAACTTTAGTTTGTCTCAACCAAATGTTATAAAACTTATACACAACCGTTCTAGAGTTATGCGTGTTTACAAGTTGAAAAATTGCTGAATTATTTTTAGTTTCTGTTCTCTACTTAAGTTAGCCTCAACCAAATGTTATGAGACTCACACACAATGCTTATTACCACAAAACTCAGATCAAGTTCAAATTTGGGTAGCGTCACTTTTACCGTTCTTCAGTTATGTCCCTTTATATCTATATGATAGCAAGTGGGGGCATCATCTGTGTCCACATGTGGACACTATCCACATTTTTTCTTCATAAGGTAGACATAAAAATAAGAAGATATGGTAAAATTGTCAATGAGACAACTCTCCACCAGAGACCAAATGACAAGAAGTTAGCAACTATAGGTCAATCACAGATACAATATCTTTTTAATTTTACATTTGTATAATACTTCTGTGTTGAAATGTTGCAGTACTGAATAGTATTATCATGCTACATTCAGCATTACCCTCTTTATACTGACAGTACAGGTGTTATTATTTTTTCTCAAAAATTATTAAACTAATTAAGAAATTACAAAAAAATACACTTTTAAAGGAAATGGACATGTTTGCAGATTTACTTTTTACACGATTTTTATTTATTTTTATTTTTAATTTCAGTCCAGAAGATGGAGGTCACTGATGTTAAGACTTTTGACACATATACTGACGGTAGGAGTCAAATTCATTTAAGTGAAATAGTCAAATCAATATGATATACTGTATATCTGGTTATTTCTGTTTGTTTTTTGTTTGTTTTTTTTTTTCGTAATCTGGGCTTTAGATGAGGCAGAGGGCTTAAGATGAGGCAGAAAAATATTCCCATTTCATAGCCACGTACAGCATTTAAATGAACAGTGAAATGTTTTTGCGAAGGGCAAATTTGATGGTAAAATGTCTACCCAACAAATAGCAAAAAATTAGACATAGGAAAAAAAAAAAGTTTTCTGCTAAAAGCATATGTATTTTGTGTACACTTTATTTTATAGTTCTATTTTCTCTTTTTGACGATTAAATTAATTTTGTTACTTCTGAATAATTATGGTAAATGTAAAGTTACTTATTATGATTTAAAGATATTAAGAAGTTAAGGGATTTAAGAAATTTAGCTATAGTGTAAAATGTGATTATATATGAAAACTGATGTGTGTTCAATTTTTTTTTTACTTCAGGCCATGTAAAGTGAATTTAATGGTTCTCAGGTAATGACATATGAAAAATTTATAAGGCAGGGGTTTTATTTAACAATGTTAAATTTTTGTATATATTTGTATAATGATTTCAACCAGTAGTTTTAAACACTTTATAAAAATTGAAGATGATACCAAAGTTTAATAATTAATCATACTAGTCAAGGAAGGACAGAAAACAACATACATGTGGCTTTATTGAAAAAATGGAAAGGCAAAAGTCAACAAAACATTACACAGAAAAACTTAAGATTGAGTAACATATGACAAACCCAAAGACTGATGGTACACATGACAAACCCAAAGACTGATGGTACACTTGACTAACCCAAAGACTGATGGTTCAAAGACTGATGGTACACATGACAAACCTAAAGGCTGATGGTACACATGACAAACCCAAAGGCTGATGGTACACATGACAAACCCAAAGACTGATGGTGCACATGACAAACCCAAAGACTGATGGTACACTTGACTATCCCAAAGACTGATGGTGCACATGACAAACCCAAAGACTGATGGTACACTTGACTAACATAAAGACTGATGATACACATGACAAACCCAAAGACTGATGGTACACTTGACTAACATAAAGACTGATGATACACATGACAAACCCAAAGACTGATGGTACACTTGACTAACATAAAGACTGATGATACACATGACAAAACCAAAGACTGATGGTACACTTGACTAACCCAAAGACTGATGGTACACATGACAAACCCAAATATTGATGATACACATGACAAACCCAAAGACTGATGGTACACATGACAAACCCAAAGACTGATGGTACACATGACAAACCCAAAGACTGATAGTACACATGGCAAACCCAAAGACTGATGGTACACATGACAAACTCAAAGACTGATGGTACACATGGCAAACCCAAAGACTGATGATACACATGACAAACCCAAAGACTGATGGTACACATGATAAACCCAAATACTGATGGTACACATGACAAACCCAAAGACTGATGGTACACATGACCAACCCAAAGACTGATGGTACGCATGAAAAACCAAAAGACTGATGGTACACATGACCAATTATGATAAATAAATAATCTGATGAATAGGATGTGTTTTATTCCAACAAAAAACAAACTGTGTAATGCTAATCAATTACTACAAACACCTCTGTAGTTGTCAAACTAATAAGCATATTCATATGTATCAACATACCACAGCGCTAATGTCATGTTACCCAATTTTGACTCAATATTCAAGGTTCAGATGAATTCAAAATTTAATAGATATAATTATTGCCCAAAGGAATTATTTTTATCCAGTTTCACCATCACCTAAAATTACTTTTAAATACTTTAGAAGTATTGCATTGCCCCTTAAACTATTTGTTTAAAAGTTTATATTTTAGAAGGTAGACACTTCATATCTTGTATATTTGTGAAATTTCCGTCTAGCGTATATCCTTTGTCCTTAACCTGATTTTCATGGTTCATCCACTGCTTACTAGCTTCTGTCTGGCTGTGTTCATCTGTTATTGGCATCGTTTTGTCTGGCTGTGTTCATCTGTCATTGGCCTCGTTTTGTCTGGCTGTGTTCATCTGTCATTGGCCTTGTTTTGTCTGGCTATGTTCATCTGTCATTGGCCTCGTTTTGTCTGGCTGTGTACATCTGTCATTGGCCTTGTTTTAACTATATTTGGTGTATGGAATGATTGTTACATGTAGGTGGTCATGTCCTGTCTGCCAGGGTTCATCCAACCTTGACCTCATTGTCATTGTTCATTAGTCAACATTTAAATTTCATGGTTTTAAGTTAGTAAAATTTAATCGCCGATTTTTTTCATGTTTTATGTATTTTTGTTCATCGCTAAATACAAGTCAGGAGCTGAGTTTTGCATATGCAGGGGAATCTAGGAACCAAATTTTTTTTTACATGGCCTCAGTAACACTAAGGAAATGGATAAAATAACATTTTTAGAAATTTGATTCATTTTAGACGCAGCATTTTTACAATATATGAAGAAAGCACCAAAAAATGCTGTCATCCTCTTAGTTACACATGACGAAATCACAGAACGGTATGTAATATATTTAGTCGTGTTTGCATTCATTAAATCAAGTCTCTTAAAAACAGCCTTCAAGTTTACACTGGCATACAAATTGAATGTTCTTAGAAATGGTAGATATGAAAAGCCTTTTTTGATATGGAATTATTAGTGTTATTTTACTTTTACCTTTATAGTATTTTTTGTCAATGTTATAGAGAAAAGAGGTTTAAATCAACTTTTTATATTATTGTTTTTTTCTGTACCTTTTGTTATTTTCACTGGCACTCATCAAGATAATAAAGAAGAGTAAATTGAGATCATTGAACTGCACCATATAATTTGTCTCTATGGAACCTCATCATTGTTGTCTCTATGGAACCTCATCATTGTTGTCCCCAGGATTTTTTGATAGCACTGTGGTAAGCACGTGATTTTCGACTATTCTCAGTAACTTTGTCGTGATGCGCGGTTCGTTTGTGATGATGTTTTTATACAATATGCTGCTGATGTTTGCTCTTGTAATGTTGTCCTGATGGAAGTTTACCCATTTGTTTGTAAATGTTATTGTTTGAAAAAAGATGAAGAATAATTTTTTATCTCCATTGTAAAGTCAGATAATCTATCAAAAATAAGTACAGAAATAAATTCCATGAAGGGTCAACACCAGACTGGCAATGTGAAGATTTCTTAACAGGTGATGCTGTAGAACATGTAGGATGTATAAGGCTCTGTCAACACTGTTCACTTAACTTGATAGGAAATGAACTGCATTTTGTTTTAGAGTGCCCTCTATATAGCTCACCAAGATTATAATTCTTGATTCTTACAAAATTTATTTCAAAAGTTTCCAAATCTGAGAAACATAAATTTAGAAAATCTCTTTAAATGTATCGTTTGTAACCCACTGGAGCAGTGTACTATTAACCTTACAATGTTTGACAGAAGTTAGTTATTTAATCAAAGTTTGTAAAACAAGTTTGTGAGTATTGTCGGTAAATGCAGTCAATTTATTTCATCTTATTCCATTCATATTTGCCTCTTAATATTCTTTTTAATTCATAAAATGGATGATAATGTTGATTTCTTCGTTTATTTTGATCTTTCAAAGACACCATTTTGAAAACTTTATTAAACTGGTCCCGCGATGTTACTTTATACAAGGCAAATAACACATTCAGAAATAGTAAACCAGTAGATCACATGATCAAAGTAAAAGATAAGCGGGAAATTAAAAAAAAAAAAAAAACAGAAAAAATATGGCGACACGATTGATTTTGATAGCGCTGCACTCAGTACAATAGAACAGCGGAAAATTGCGAAGGGCTGAATACGGCAGAGCTAAAACGGTCTGGAGGGAACACTGTGTTGATATCTCTATGTTTGTTGAGTTGTAACTTAAGGGTTTATTGTGTTGTGGCTTTATATTCAATATCTTATTTATTTAATTCTGAAAACAATTTTAGATTTAGAATTTTGTGTGTGCATTTATTAATTTGAATGAAAAAAAAATGAGAGATTAATAATGGAGATTTCTTGAGTTGCTGAATACAAATTTAAAATGAGAGTTTTTAATTTTGTAAAACCTATTCATTTGCAATAATAAAAACATTCATAAAATTTCTGAATTTACAATATTTTGTCCTCTTATAAACTGTGGTGACACATATAATGTATTGTAATTAGGTAGGTAGATAGCACTAAAAATTATTTGCCTCTTGTTTGCATTTCATTTGAAAAAAAAAACATACTAAATTTTTAGAAAGAAGAATAAATAAACTTTTGTATTATATATTTTTCAGATTGAGCAATGAAGGCAGACAATGGTTTAGGTTAATGGGTAGTTACTTGATAGACAATGTTGGCTTTAGAGATGCCTTTGTACTGGTTGGACAAATTGGACTGGAACAGAAACAGGCTATTGAATTTGTAAGTTAAAGTCGTTTATATTACCCATGTCAGTTTTGGAAGTCCAATTTATTTTCTTTGAGAAGTAAAGAGTTACTTAACATAAGCTTATATAAACTACTGCTGGATAAGTAATTCGTCATAAGAAGAAGTTAAAAGTAGCTGAGTTATATTACCAGTTCAATTCAATTCAATGTTTTATTAAAGTATCATCTCACAACAAGTACAATCGATATTTATAAATTTCAAACAAATCTACATAAAATGAGAGCCATTCTATACAGAATTATAAGAGACTATTAAAATGCATAGATATACTACATTAAACAATATTAAATGAAGTACTATTTACAATAAAAAAAATTCTGTGTTTCTTTAAAATTAAATAACAGGTTTTGGCACACACATGTATCATATTACATCTGAGAATAAAAACACTAACTTTTGGTTGTCACCTTAATTATTAAAATTTTCATTAAAAGTTTCAGCAACATAATATAAATGGTTTCTAAAATCGTCATAAAGAGGACATCTTAATAAAACATGCGCTTCATCTTTGATAAAATCATCACATATATGGCACACTCTTGTTTTCTAAAACAATATTTTCGTATCTCCCAGTTTCGATCCTCAGTGGGGCAACACCACATCTAAATTTGGCGAAAGCACTTCTGTTACTGAAAGGCAAAGCTATTTTACAGTATTCTTCGGGTCCAAAATTTTGTTTGAAAAATTTGTACGTTCGTAGCTTATTGCCACCTCTACCCGATATAGATTTATCAGAATGTAAAACAGCATGCCAATTATCGACATGTTTATCGTGTAATTTTGTCTTAAAAATTTTTACAACATAGTTAGTGTCCATATTATCAGGACACAGTAAATGACTTCAATTCAGTTCACAGAAGGTTTTCCTTACTAACAAGTTCCAGTTATTAACACACTTATGCTTAATACTCATATTGTCAGCCCGCTTATGAACTTTACATTTAACTGATTTGAGCTCATGTAATTTGATCTACATCACAAATGAATAATACTTTTCCACTGCTTATTAACAATAGGTGTTATACCTAAGTCTCCAGTAACTGCAGCATTTGCAGACTACACGAAATACGTCGGACCGTCGGACAAATCCGGTGAATAATGGATCGGTCTGGTAAAATTTTGTTGAATTCCGGTCCGAATGTCCGGTGTTATATTTTTCGTGGATTTTTTTAAAAACCCTACATTTTTCCCAATTTTGGGGGCAAAGTTCCCAAACGATCTCAAAATTCATTCTCATCTTTATTATTCATGACAGCGATGTTTATTTTGTTCAACCGCTAGCTTTATGCCGAAAATCGCATACAAGTGCTGTGTAAATCCAAGTAAAAACATATCTGACTGACAAAAACAACAATGGCTGCCATCAACGGGAAATATAAACAATACCGGATCAGATTCCGGGAACGGATAAGGTCAATTTCCGGGGTTTGCCGATCAAATACAATAGAAACATAAAAAAAATCCAAGCAGGTTTACAAAATACAGCTATGAAATATAAACACTAGAATTGAAAACCAAAAGATATATGAAAATGAAAGAAGAAACAGGAAATATTTTTTTACAGAAACTCAAAATTTTTAGTTCACAAATAATTTTCATGTCAAAATCCAATAAAATGTGACATTACTTTTCTTTATCACTGAAATGCATTCAAGCAATTGTGCACAACTTTCATCAAAATACATGTATACACTCTTTGTCACATGATTTTGTTTTTGTGCATTTTGGAGAGGAGTAGGGCACAATAAGTCATAAGATTGTTGTATTTTGTCGGATAATATACAATTAGATGTAAAAAAAATTGGTCAGGTAAAATTTCATTCGGTCTGGTAAAGCGAGGTTGTTTACCAGACCGAATGTCCTGTAAAAATAAAATTAATTCGTGTAGTCTGCATTTGGTGTATATTTTCCTACTCCAAGAAAAAAAAATCTACAGACCCTATTATGTATGGAATTTATACAAGAATATGTTTTTACAACCCATATACCTACTCCATATTCTATTATAGGACAAACCAAACTCTCATATAATTTTACAAATATATTGAAACAAACACCACCTAAGAGTTTACACTTGGCTATTACCAACCCTAAAGCTCTAATTGCTGAAGATGCAACCATCTATGGTAATGGTAAATGATATGAAAGAAAACTGAATTGTCACCTCTTTGTTTGTAGACCATTGTTAATTAGGAAAGAGAGTGATATTCATAATGATTTATGTAATCATATATTTTACCAGAAAAAACTGATTGATTTGATTTTTGTGAATTATTGATTTTGAATACACTGTACTATAAATTAAAAAAATTTAAAAGACATGTCTTTAGATTTTGGTGGAGAGCTGTTCAAATTTTCGTTTCTTCTTTTTCAGCATAAAAAGAGAGAGCATGGTGGATACAGCTTACCCATTGAAAAGAAAGGGTGTTTCTCTCTACCTTGTTAGTAAAACAACACATTTGAAAACATTTTATTACAGCAATTAACTAAAAAGAGCTCTTTCAAAGCATAAACACATGCAAAAGATAATAAAATTTATCTCTAAATCATATAAGAAATAAAAAAATGTCTTGTAACTGGTCACATCAATTTGAATTATACCTGTACATATATAAACCGTTGTGAGGTATTGTAATCAATATTGTTCTGACATGTGAGCAGCTGGCTTGAGGTGACTATGCCTCAGATCAGCTGTAGTTCAACAACCATTTTTGTACCAACAAGCAATATTTTTAGAAAATTTCTCTTCATAAAATCAAAACAGAATTGACCTCTTGCTAGAAACTAGTTAAGCTTTATATGATTTTAGTTGTAATGTTGTACAATAAGATGTGATTGATATAAAAATTCAACAATGAACAGTGTTATCGTTTTTGGACATTAGTATTTTAAATCTGACATTTAATTTTACTCTATTTATATATTGTGATTTATTGGATACCAGTTGTCATGGATACCACCATATAAAGCACTCCCTAATTTTGAACTGTCCAGTGAAGTAGTCTTACATGACTTATTTAGTAGAAGTTAAGAGAACTGTGAAATCATATTTACACAGAATTATAATATAATTTGTGTACTGTTTTTCAGTCGGTCCATTAAGAGATATTTCACAATTTATACCAAAAGTGACAGAGTATAAAATGGTTGTAGAAAAGTTGGACAAATGTGGATTGACTACAGAATGTGGTGGTGATAAGTTTTCTGTTATGGTGGATACTGGTGATGGTGATCAGAGGAAACCTACAATTTGTATTAATGGTGAAATGTAAGATCTAGTTATAGTATTAATGGTGAAATGTAAGATCTAGTTATAGTATTAATGGTGAAATGTAAGATCTAGTTATAGTATTAATGGTGAAATGTAAGATCTAGTTATAGTAATAATGGTGAAATGTAAGATCTAGTTATAGTATTAATGGTGAAATGTAAGATCTAGTTATAGTATTAATGGTGAAATGTAAGATCTAGTTATAGTATTAATGGTGAAATGTAAGATCTAGTTATAGTAATAATGGTGAAATGTAAGATCTAGTTATAGTATTAATGGTGAAATGTAAGATCTAGTTATAGGACTAACATTGCTTTTTCATGGGATGCATGGTTATTTTAATGTTTGGTATACTGTATATCGGGTTTTTTTCGTGTGTGTTTAATTTTCGCTTTGTTCGCGGCAGCCAAAGAAACGCGAAAATTTGACCCCACGTAAATTTCCCTGCATATTCCAAAATTTATCGTTGTTTGAAAGTATCATACATTATACTATTATTTATCGAGTCTTTGGTGTTGTTGAAGTTTGGTGTTGTTCGACAGATCACAAGAATATGCATACTTAATTAAGATCTCTGTTTTCACATAATTAAATTGGCTATTAATCCTACATGTCACACCTTTTGACAACAAGCAATCAGTGACATGTTAAAAAATGTTAATTAGCGACGTTCTATTGATTGGTGTCATAACCCGAAAATTTTGCATATAATGTAAAAATAAAATAAATCACATTTACAAGGATATTTGTATACCAGTAATGATCAAAACCTTCAACTTTTAGCATACCGAATGTACATATTTTACGTTCCTTGAAAATGTATTTTCATTTGTAGTACTCATATTTATTTGATATTGATTATCTGTTAGTTAATTGAGTTTATGTTGTTTACAACTTTAACAATACGATAGTTATTTTTTTGCATGTATTTTCCCATTCAGCGAAAATTATACACAGTGAAAATTTTACCTGCCAATTTTGTCATCAAATCGCAAAAAAAAGCCAAGCAAAAAAACCCTGATTTAAGGTATGTCATGAGACAGCAACCCAACTATACAATTATCCAAAAGACCTCTCGAGGTCAACATATAGTTTTAAAACAATAGGCAGGTGCCTTTACAATACATAAGGCTCTAAATTATCCCCAGTTTAAAATAGTTGTGAATAAATTTAACAGAAACTGTGAAGCATCTGTCATCAACACCAAATTCCCCAAATGAAAAAAAATAGCATGAGATAAGACAATTCTCCATTTCAAAATCTATTGCATTATGGGTAATATTTGCAAAAGTGTACACCAAAACGCTGTGATTAGCTTACAACGTCCAAAACAAATGAAATTCAAACAATGATGTGACATTGTTTTCATTTTGGGGTACGAACAATGAAATTACCCATGGTCCTTCAGATTCTGAAACAGCGAATTAAGGACAAGTTCAGTTTGTCAAATTCATAAAGATTTTGTATCAGTTAGGATATCATCACAAGGCTTTCATATAAGCTTGATGTGTTTAGATAAGTTCTGATATGAAATTTAGGGGTAATAAAGAGTTTGATTTTTCAAATATTGCGAACCCAATGAAAGTTTTCCACAGTGCCATCTCTATCTTGACCAGGTATTTAAACTTTTATAAGTTCACCTGTCCTATTGAATAAATACAATAGCTATTTTTGTCTGTGTAGTTTTTTCACTGGGACCTTTAAATTTCTTCTAAGAGAAATCTATCACTCATTGATTAATTTACCTGAGTAATAAAAAAATCTTGTAAATAGAGGAAAATACATGTTTTATACTCAAAACTGCATGTGATGTTATATTTATTCAAGATTGATAATATATTTTCAATCGGTTGAATGTAAACAGTGATGCAAAGTTGAAACATTAATAAAATATAAAAAAGAAGATGTGGTATGATTGCCAATGAGACAACTCTCCACAAGAGACCAAATGACACAGAAATTAACAACTATAGGTCACCGTACGGCCTTCAACAATGAGCAAAGCCCATACAGCACAGTCAGCTATAAAAGGTCCCGAAATGACAATGTAAAACAATTCAAACGAGAAACCTAACAGCCTAATTTATGTACAAAAAATGAACGAAAAACAAATATGTAACACATAAACAAACGACAACCACTGAATTACAGGCTCCTGACTTGGGACAGGAACATACATACAGAATGTGGCGGGGTTAAACATGTTAGCGTTGATTTATGTTATATGCAATAATAATATATTTTCATTCAGTTTAATATAAATATTGATTCAATCATAAAACGTTGATTTCTGAGAAAACTTTCAACATTAAAAAATTTGTTTGACATGAATAAAAACTTGAAAATTAAAGATGTTCAAATCAAGATCTTCTTAAATGTATTCTATAACTAGACAAAATAAAAATCAAATTTCAATAGGAACATTGATAAAACTTTTGTTAGAAATCAACTTTTTATGATTGAATCAATGTTTATATTAAACTGAATGAAAATATATTATTAATATTGAATAAATACATCATCACACGCAATTAATGAGTATAAAAAAAGTATTTTTGTCTATATATAAGAATTTTTTTATACTCAGGTAATTTAATCAATGAATGATAGATTTCTCTTAGAAGAAATTTAAAGGTCCCAGAGAATAAACTACACAGAGAACAATAGCTATTGTATTTATTCAAAAGGACAGGTGAACTTGCAAAAGTTTAAATACCTGGTCAAGATAGAGATGGCACTGTGGAAAACTTTCATTGGGTTCACAATAACATTTTCTGTCTGCAGTGTACTGGGTGAAAAGGTGAACCATGCAGGGAGAGGATTTAATGTAGCTGTATTAAGTTCTGCAGAGAAGAAAGTCTCCACTGTCACAGTGTTTGATACATATGAAAAAGGTTGGTTTAATTCATGTAGAGTTATATAGGAATATTGGTTCTCATATAGTGAGACACCATTATGATTTTACAGACTGTGGATTCATTAATATATGTGGGATACCAATTTTTCGTTGATTTCATGGGTATACTGGAACCTCTAATTAAAATTTTCAACAAAGTTTAAATTTACTATAGCTTTATGCAGACTTTGGAAAAACAATGAAATCAAATATACACGAAATTACAATCTTTTCTCAATCCACGAAAATTGGTGCCCACGAAAATAGATCATCTTACAGTATTAGGATCAAATCCTGTATGCATATGTTAATTTTTTATTTTTAGTTATATTTGCACGAAGTTCCATGTGAGGTGTTGCCATCACTCAGCATCCCATGTCATCGTTCAACTGTAAACTTTTCACATTTTTATCTCCTCTTAACTGATCCAATTTTAACACAAAAATAAAGTTATAATGTGAAAAGGATCCTCATTTGATTCTGTTTGATGAAAAATGAATCCAGATACCAATTTTTGAGTCAGAGTGTTTAATTTTCATAAAATCTTCTACTTTGAAATTACATGTCATGATGTTTTGAACCTTCAAGGGATTTGTGAATGGAAGCCCTCATCCAGTGTCGATAGTTTGGTAAACATTAGAAATGGAAGGTCTTCTACAAATTTTATGCATTTGATTTTGCTCAGATAAAAATCAGCAATCTTTGATTCTGTTTGACCAACGTTCAAAAAAAGTTCTCTGTGTAATGTGTTAAAATTTTATGGGATTGATGAAAAAAATCCATCTGAAGCTTAATTTGTAAGAAATTAATAGTAAGTAATAAGGGGGAAAATTTATCAGGTAAGAGATTCAGGCTCCTATGAGACTTACTTATTTTTGGAATTATTGTTTTTTACTAAAATATTGTTAAATCTTCTCTATCATAAATAGAACATGAAAAGCAACAGTTAATAAACAGCCCATATCAATAAAGGCATGTATATATGTTTATGGAATATTTAAAGCATGCTTTGACAGAAATTAGCTTTAATTATGTTATGAATGTTTGTTTTTTTTTATGTTATTCATACATGCTGCAGTGGAATAAACTTGAATATCACAGAACAAATATTTTTAACACTTTACTTTCATTTTGAGAATCTCAATCTTTACAATCAGAAAGAGACAAGTTTGTCTGTCTGTCCATCAGGAATCAGGTTCAAGTTTTAGTAGGGTAGTTTTCCATCAAATTGTGGTCACATCAACTTGAACCTAAGTATTTTTTTTCCTTATTATGTGAACTTTTTAAATTATATGCCAATTTGCAGTTTTGAATTCAATTTGAGGGTTCACTGAAAATGTCCTAGTTTGAAATTAGTACATTCTCAGGTTACAGTTTTAGGTTATAGTAGTTTGCCACGAAGGTTACATATATATGCATCAACTTGAAACTTTGTACACATGTTCATTATGATATGAACTATTTAAATTATATGATAAACAAGGGTTTTGACCCCAATTTCATGGGTCACTGAACATAGAAATATAGTGTAAGCAGGGCATGGTTTCCTATGGACACAATTCTTGTTTATCATAATGTTCTAAATATTTTCCAGTGCACAGAGAGTAAACGTGAATGATCAGGTTCTGTAAAAGTTTTGTGTGGAAATTTGGTTATTCATAACTTATATTTTCTTCTAATTTAAAAAGTTTTTCTTTTTTTATTTTATTATAGGATTAAACACATTTTTTTTCTGGAGGTTATTGATGTGTAAACCGGGGCGATTAACTCACAAACTGAATAATGTAAAGTTTGTGAGTCAGCGACCCAGTTTTCAAATCAATAACCTCGAGAAAAATTGTGATGAATCCTTATAATTCTTAACACGAACAGTTGCAAATTTTTATTAACATTTCTTTTCATTAGCCATCAAATCCACAGTTGACATGCCTTACTAAGGAATGAGCAGCCATATTGACTTGCTGAAATCCTGAAATATTCGATTATTGCAATAGAATTAAAAATGCCTACCTTTCAAAATCCATTTTTATGAGATCTTATTCAAATTAAAGGGTTCAAGTAACAGAATAACCTTCAGCTTGAGAGTTTTCATTTGTATGATGTCATGTTTTGTCATGACGTTAATGTACGAAGATCATTCATGAAATTTCACAGAATTTTATTTTATTTTGATTTTATACATTTTTCAAGCTCGAATGCACTATTTCTCTTTGTTATACATTAGAATATGAATAACAGTTCTTTAGTGTTTTTTTCAAATTTGATTTACTTGGAACCCCAGGATCCTATGCATGTGTATCGTATCACACATGAATAGGTCAGAGTGAAATTGACATAGCGATTTCATAGGTTATGAAAGTAGTTTTAACAATAGGGTCTACGATAGTGTAAACCATTGGGGGAAAACCTATAGGACCTATCCTATTGAAGTGTTTGTAGATATGCAAATCGTATAAGAATTATATAGCTCTCTATTTTGGAGTACCTTGAGATTCAACTTGTGTGTTAAGAATCACACTCTAGTTTTAAGTTTGTCATGCTATTTATGTCCTTTAATAATGTATCTTACCATAAAAGAGTGTTAACCTTTTAAGTTTCATTGGCTGTTATCTTTGGAAGTCCTTTAAAGAGAGCAAACAAGTTTTGTAATTTAGATTGCCTATTTTTACTTGGAACAAGCCTGATTCCCTAGCATGCCTATAACAAGAAATAAAATGCTTATATTTTTGTCAGCAAGTTTGCATGTGAGTTTTGACTAATCATTAACATGTATGACTGTAGACAGTTCAAGCATGGAAGTTTTCTTGGAGAATTTGGTGGAGGGAGACATTGTTGTTGCTGTTGTTAATGATGATGGCCAGAGAAAGTAAGTAAGAGTTTATTCAAGGGAGACATTATTGCAGCTATTGTAAGGGTTGATGGACTGAAATAGTAAGTAAGAGTTAACCAAGGGAGACATTATTGCAGCTGTTGTAAGGGTTGATGGAATGAGATAGTAAGTAAGAATTAACCAAGGGAGACATAAGTATAGCTGTTGTTAATGATGATGGACAGAGAAAATAAGTAAGACTTTATTCAAGGGAGACATAAGTAAAGCTGTTGTTAATGATGATAGGCAGAGAAAGTAAGTAACAGTTTATTCAAGGGGACATTATTGCAGCTATTGTAAGGGTTGGTGAATGAGATAGTAAGTAAGAGTTAACCAAGGGAGGCATTGTTGTAGCAGTTGTTAATGGTGATGGATAAAGAAAGTAAGAGTTTGGTGTAGGGAGATGTAATTGTAGCTGTTGTTGGTGATTATGAACTAAGAAAGCATATGTTGAATACGCATGCATTATCATACACAAAATGTTACTCTTTGGTGCATCAGGTTATTAGAATATAGGTATATAACTTTATCATAATTCCTTAAGATTATATCATTTAAGTCAGTTATTTAGGAAATCCTGTTTTGCATCATAATAAACATCCAATACATTACAAAAACTCTGGAATCAATAACAATAAACAGATATCAGTCTATATATAAGGGCTGAAACAATGTGCCTACATAAAGAAATGATTTCAGTTTCAAGGATGAAAATTCAGTGTTTGCCTGGCCTAGGTGGAAGATACAGTGTCAATAATTGGTAAAAGTTAATAAGATTATTTAGCCCCACCCCTTCAGTTATAATCTGACACTTTTGCATAGTAAACAGGTTAAAGATTTTGATTAGGTTATTATCTTTATACATATATACCCAGTAAATACATTGTACTAAATGAAAATAACACTGTGTCCAAAGCACTTTTCTGGATTTACCCTCATCAGGAACGATCAAACCTAAACATTTGAAAGCCAAAGATATAAAAGAACTAAGTTTTATTTTACTGTACTTAAGATGTCCAACCTTTCATTTTGCCAAGTGTAAAGATAGTCATACAGTGTATCATTTACATCATATGTGTTTTACAAACAGGAATACATTAAAATACCCTCTAGTCCAGATCAAAACTGAACCAAGATATGGGTTAAAAATATTGAAAATCAAACAGACAGAAAAATATAGTGATTTGTTAATCATTTTTGTGTAACTTTATTTTGTAATAACTATGTTATAGGTTGAGTACTCATGCCAGGGACTTGTATAATCAGCTTGGTAGTAGCATGATACAGAACCTTAGATTCCGTGATGTTTGGTACTTTGTTGGTAAGAAAGGAATCAAAGGATTTACTAGCACAGAACAGGTAGGCATGATTCTGTGATGTGTGGTACTTTGTTGGTAAATAATGCATGAAAAGCCATGAAAAGTTTGACTTGTATAAAACATGTTTTAGTTATTTTTTGTAGTACTTTGTAGGCAAGATATGAAAGTTTTTCTCTTCATAAACAGGTAATTAAAGTTCTGTCATATTGTGGGGAATAAAAGGGGTACTTTATATGTAAAAAAAGACAAACAAGTGTTACTCTCTCTGAACAGCAGTTAAGCTCAATTTTATGATGCAAACATATGCTGGTTATCCTGATTCAGAAAGATTGCATAAGAAAAAAATCAATATCTGATTTTTTTTTATTAATTTCTTATTGAAAAGAATTTAATATACTATAAAAACATGAAGTTTGAATGGCAGAATATATAAGATTTATTTTACAGATCAGTTTTGCTGGATATGATGGTAGTTGGCCAACATCTATGAAGGACTCCTTTTGTTTACCTTATAACTGTAAGTAATAGAAAGTACCTGTAACAGAACTTGCTATTGCATTAGGAAAGTGGTATAAACATGGTCAATCAGACAGTAAATTTAGAGCCAAGGTAATCAAGTAAGCATCCATAAGAAGGAAACTTTGCATTAATAAGTAGGAACAAATTTTCTTTAATTTGAAATCAGTTAACACTAAGATTTTGTACATGCTCAATGAAAAAATATTTCTGGTTGATGACTACTGTTAGTTGATATATCTATACTATTAAATGAGAAGACCTCATTTTGTGTGTCGCTTCTCTTCCTTCCACAATAAATTAATCATCATGCCTCTGTGTCCTAGAGGTACCATGCATAGTCGCATTTGTCATCCTCGCTTATGATTATTCCGTTTGGGTTATTTTGGGAGGAAAACGAAAATAAAGGAGTCCGAATATTGTTTCCGTCATCGGATGGACTTTTAAGTCATAGACAAGACTTCCTTTTAGGACGGTTTAAAATAACACATAATTTTCATAGGTACTTGGGGACAGGACAATTATTTTCGTTTTTTCTGTATACTATATGAACATACATATACTATAAATAAAATGTATTTGCTATTTACTATCAATTCCAAGTTTACTATCAACGGCGGTCATATATTATTTAGATATTATAGTATATGTATGTTCATAGTATACAGACTGAAAACGCGAAAATAATTGAAATTAATAGAACACAAAAAAATAACGGATTTTGAAAAAAAAGGGAGAGGGCTAAAAAAATTGTCCTGTCCCCAAGTACCTATGACTTTTGATACCTTTCTTGAAATTCTCCAGTCATAAAATCTTTTACAAAAAATCATCCTACAACAGTTTATATACTTTCAACCACTCTCTAAATGCCTGCGATTTCGTGGGTGTGTTCTAGTTGAATTTATATATTAGGAGACTTCAGTTTAAGTCTATTGTTGAAGACTATGTTGCCCTCTTGTTGTCGTTGTGTTGTTTCTGTTGTTGGGTTAGTCTCATTGATTATATTTCCCACATCTCCTTTTATTAGTTTTTACTGTAGTTAAAACTATCTTATTACACAGTTAGTTGAATAATGTCATTTTGTGTTGTCATTCATAGTTTGAATCATTAATTAAGGATTAATATTCATTACAGTAAAAGGTACAGATATTCCCCCAACACCTAAATCAAAGAGAAATGAGGCCAGAAGAGAATTTTGTAAGAAGTATGATGGCTATGAACATTTATGTGATCGTAAGTATATACAATTTAATGTATTATACAATATATTTCCTAAGAAGAATATCTTTTGAAGACAAGTACTGATACTCCTTTAATTAGATATGTTTGGTCGGAGTTATGCAGCAGAACCTTTGAAATGGCAATTTTTCATCATACCATGAAAATATGAGAATTGGTGGTCAGAAACTTCTTCATTTCATAATCAAGAAATAGCATTTGAAGAAGAATTTTTTTTCATATTTACTGATAAATTAACAGCTTTTTGAGTTAATAATCAGGGTTAAAGGTTTTAAAACATCAATAACCTTTTTTAAACCTTCATTGAATTTCAGGAAACTTTTTCCGAAACTTTATGATACCTAGTAGAATAAAACATTGATTTTCCCCATTTTTTTCTTAGGAATTTTGTTATTTTGTCGTTTGGGTGCTCTCTCACTGGGGTATACCCCACATCTCGTTTTGTTCAAATAAGAAAGATATTACATTCAGATTATTCTTATGAAAGTTTTTGGATTAACAAAACCATAACAGGCTAGTTCGATTGGCATAGATATTAAAACATTTTGTTTACTACAAATATGATGTAAAGTAACATAAAGTAATTGAATGTTTTGGATGAGGTTAGAATACACTTTATGCTACCTACAGTCTTATCATTTAGATCCATCTATTTTCTGATCCAATGCCTTGTGTAAGGAGAGTGTTATGCTCTGCAAGTTAAAGAACCCTTGCAATAACTCTCATGGAATCCATCATTGGCATGATGCAATCCAAATTTCCTGGCTTCATCTAGATTCACCCCTTTGCTGAAAACATCATTTTTGATTAAATGTAAATTTGTTCTGTTCCTGTACTTATTAGCCACTAGATGTGATCATCAACAATAAGAAATCAATCAATTTATTATTATGTTATTTAAGTATTTTAACTTTTAATGATATTCAAGAATTTTAACCAAATAAATTCACCTGGTGTATCTCAATGTAAATTTGACATGAAAATTTAACAAAGACATGATTTCAAATGCCTGTCAAATTATTTCAAAAAGTAAAACAACAAAAATACCAAACTCCAAGGAAAATTCAAAACGGAAAGTTCCTTAACAATTGGCAAAATCAATGCTCAAACACATCAAACGAATGGAAAACAACTCAATAGAGTTAGTAGGTAAGATAATGCTTCCTAACCATGGTATTCAGATACAGCAATTTGAAACAGACTTGTAACAGGTTGTCTATAATTGTTTACATCCACTTCATTTGAACTTTGGTGGATAGTTGTCTCCTTGGCTATTATATCACATTTCCTTATTTTTATATTGTAGTTGCTTACTACATCTGATACACATAATGTTTGTATATTTGTATGTGTATTATAGCTGCTGCTGTAGATGAAACGTTACAAGGTGTTGAGTTAGTAGACAGAAGCCATGCTAATGATGGAATATTTAAAGTACCTATAGTCATTATACCAGGTAAGATTATTAAAACAATACACCTGCAGCTTTCATTTAATTCAAAAATATTATTTCAGTTACAAGGGATATGTATTACTGCAAGATATTTCCAAAAACTTTTTCAATTAATTTGCTAAGATGATGACATATTATTGTATTTGGTACTTTGGCTCAATTTAATAGTTAACTGACATTTAAAAAAGTTTGTTTCAAATTATATTATTGGAAAGAGATTTTAATTTTCATTATGACTGAGAATATGCTTAGAAGTTTTATTACCATTTCCAACATAAATTTTCTAGGATTAGTGCCACTGTTTAATAGTATGTATAATATAATAAATCACATAGATATTTGCTGATCTTTAACATCTAACCCAGAAATCTCCCTCCAAAACAGAAACTAAAGTAATGTATTGACATTACATTTGTGGTCATATTTGTACCAGTGTCCTTAAGTATTGCAAGTGATTTCTTATAAAACAGAAAATGTTTTGTAGCATTCTCGAAAATTCTTTATTAAAGATAAACTAGTGAAACTAGGAAATTTTGGGTAGAGATTGAAATTTAACAAAAACAGGATGTCAAATGCCAGTCAAGTTGATAAACTAAGAGAGGGAGATTTGTATCTACAGTGGAATTCCTTCCCTCCATTCAAAAGAGTTAGCAGGTTTGGTCATGCTTTTTTGAGGGAGTAGCCTCTTTTACCATGGTATTAGGACACTAGCTTCCCCTCACATTATGTTGCTATAGAACATTAGCATCCTATACACATGTTGGTGGTATTTCCCATTTAGTGTGGATGGGTACAAAACAAATATTCCCCATACATAGGTTATTGGTATAAAAACAGTTGTTCCACAATAATGGATTGATAATATAAATATTTCAACAATAGTTCTACATAAATAAGATTCTCTCATTGTGCATATTTTTAGTATTTAAACAGTTCCTCGTGCAAACTTTGCTGATGTATAATAAAAATTACACAGATTGATTATATAAGAACAAAAATTCCTGTACACAAATTGTTGGTACAAAATGGTAGTCCACATGAACAATTTGTACCCATACATAGTCCCAAATGAAGATTGTTGATAAACCCCGTTTGTTAGAGTTGTCAGATACCAGTACTGTTCCAAAACATAAACTCTAGGCAGGAAAACTATAATGTATATCCCAGATATTTGGTAAATACACAAGCTTCACACGCACTTAGATATATTCATATTTAAATGTATTTATGTATCATTATAAAAGCTTTAGTACATATGACATTTATATTTATACGTTTTACATAAGAGTGAAATGAACTAAGTTAGACATTTTGGTTTAAAACAATAATATACTACTAATATGAGTTTAAATTGAATATTATGCTGAGGTGTATTACTTATGGTTTACACTTTGAAGTAGGCTTAGTTTAAAGGTGAAGGGTCATGTGGTCTTTATTAATTTATGTAAAAATATTATGGTAAATATTAGAAGTACCTCTCCATTTATGAATCATGCAAAATATGATTCAGTTGGTTTGAAAGCCTACAAAGAAATTGTTTGATACCGGATTGAGGATATAAAAATATGACTTAATTCATTTAATATTTTTCTTTTATACTCCTACCAGATGAGGTATGAATTTTATAAAGTGCACTATTAATCTTGTGCTGATTGAGATAACTCCAAATATATCCTATAAAATGTATTGTAAAATGCATGCAGTTATCTGTCCTTGTAAGGCTGTAGATGGAAAATATTAGGTATTTATCGACACCAACATTGCAGCTGATTGACAAAAATATTCATTTGTAGTCTTTCATGCGGTGTATTGCAAAATTTTGTTTTTTGCATGATTCATATATGGACTACCACTTAAACTTACATAGAGAAAAATATTTCTATTTTTAGCTCACCTGGCCCAAGTGTGCTTTTTTTCATCACTTGGCGTCCATCGTCTGTTAACTTTTACAAAAATCTTCTCCTCTGAAACTACTGGACCAAATTTAACCAAACTTGGCCACGCCTGCCAACCAAGATGGCCAAGCTGGCTAAAAATAGATATGGGGTAAAATGCAAGTTTTGTCTATTATTTTGAAAACCGTTATAAATTAAGAAAATCTGACAGGTTAAAAAAATTTTAAAAATGTTCAGAATGTTGAGCTCTACCAATTGTTGATGACGTCAAAACTGTCAGGTGACTTCTTGTAGGAGTTATTGCCCTTAAATGACAAATTTTACCATTTTTTTCTTCATTTTTGCCTATTATCTTGAAAACTATAATAGATAGAGTGAAACTTAAAGATGCAAAAATGATCAGCAAGACAAGATCTACGAATAAGTATCATGGTCAAAATTGTCAGTTAAAAATTATAATAGATAGATAGAAACTTAAATTAGGAAAAATGATCAGCAAGACAAGATCTACATTTAAGACATATGGAGGAAAATTTCCTGACGACTTCCCTTTTATGATGATTTTTACCAATTTTTTGGTGTTTTGCCTTATATGATAAAAATTATAATAGATAAATAGACACTTTAAATAACAAATATGATCAGCAATGCACGATCCACCAACAAGTCAAATTTTGCCGATATAGTTAGTAGACTGTCACCCTTCTTAGGAGTGATTGCCCTTAAATGAGGATTTTTTTTTTACTCTCTTTTGTGTTGTGAGCAAAAACTAAAGAAGATAGAGAGAAACTAAATAGACAAAATGATCAGCATCAAGAAAGAGATTTTTGCCATTAATTCTATTCTTGTTTACAATGTTGGAGAGAGTCTATTGTTGAATATGCACATAGACCAAGGTGAGCGACACAGGCTCTTTAGAGCATCTAGTTTTTGTTGGCATACTACAGTCACTTTTATTCAAAAATAAGATTTAAAGATGGCATTGGTGAAAAGGTCCACATATAAGATTAAAAGTTTAAGAAAGTCTGGGGAAAAGGATACAAAATGGGACTTAAATATTGTTGTCATTGAACTATAAAAAGAGGGTATGTGTAAGGAAGACAAAAAGTAATTGTTTTTGTTTGACAGTAAAATTGTAAATTTTAAGAAATATTTATTAAGTCAAACATTATTTTTGAATTATCCTTGGATGTCAACTTAAGGTACATAAATGTATTTGATAATAGAGAATTCTGTTATTGAATACAGTAACATCAATAAATATTATTTTGGTATCAAGTTGTCATAATAATTAGGAATTTCTTGTTCAATATGTTATATTTACATGTAGGTGTTAATCACAATGCAATAGTGAGAACCATGGAAACCACACTGATGCAACCTGGGATAAAACCAAATATGGTTCTGGTACGTAATAATCATTTTGAAATATGCCATATTAATGCAATTTTATTTATGAAAAGTTTCAAGTTAAAAAGAATCTTGCTGAAAATAATTATGGTGTCTCTATGAAATGTGAAATCTGTAGCTTAACTTATAAGAGATATTCTAATAAAAGATCACATAATGAATTCATTCATTGTTAGCTACAAATATCCAGGATAAGATAAATGATTCTTAATTATGATGATAAAGTTTATTAAAGCTGGATCTTCATTTAATTTTGTTTAATTAATGTTACCTGAAAGAAAAGACTTTAGATGATTAAATGAATGTAAATCTTGTGATACTAAGTGGCCCTCATGGCTTTCATTGAAAATGTTAAAGTAAGCAAGATCTCAAAAATCACCCCAAAAATATTAAAAAAATACCTGCCATGCTTCATCAAGAAACATTGAGATTTTCAGTGTTTTGCATCATGCCAATACTTTAAAATACAAAATAGAAGTATTGGCCATCCTAAGACATACCCTCTTTCTGTGACTGTTAAATTTTTGATATATTGGTGGTGTTTGATTTTTTCTTCCATTAGTCATAAAATAGTTTGTTAAATCTTTATTTTAAAAGATACATTTTCCAAACCTTTAAGCCATATTAAGAAAGGTTATGAAATGAGAAAAAAATTAAAACATAAGGAATATGTCAGAAGTGAATAAGAAGTTTTCAAAAGAATGAGAGAGCCATGTGATATTTTGAGATAAATAATATAGCTATTAAATACAGGTGCCAATATCTTGTATTATGTGTCTGTTGTTCTATTCTTAGAACTCAATAAAAGATGTGCAGGACAAATGTTTTGTTTATATGCTTCCTTTATGATTAATAACTTAATGTTAGCAGTTATATATCTATAACTTTTCTTTTAATGTTTTTTTCACATTTTATTTTAGGTTGCCTATGATGAAAATTTTCCAGAATATGGTGAACTTTCAACCTTATTTGGTTTCCATAATATAAGTGTGAAAGCTAGCACTACCTATGTAGGTGAGTCTGTCATTTAAATGGTTAAAGATCCTAACAGTTGTTGTATTTTTTGACTCGTCTGTGACAGAAGTTTTGTTGGCAGTTATCTTTTAGATACAGTCTGAGGATAAAGTATTAAGACATCAATAACTTTGTCAAACCCTCATGGAATTTTTATGCCCCCGCCGTAGCGGTGGGGGCATTAAGTTTTACCCTTGTCCGTCTGTACGTACGTACGTACGTACGTACGTCCCAAAATTGGTTTCCGTTCTCTAACTTCAGTTTGCCTCAACCAAATGTAATGAAACTTATACACAATGCTTATTACCACAAAACACAGATCAAGTTTGAATTTTGGTGGCGTCACTTTAACCGTTCTAGAGTTATGCCCCTTTATAAATGGAAAAATTGCAAAATTTTTAGTTTCCGTTCTCTTACTTAAGTTTGCCTCAACCAAATGTTATGAAACTTATACACAAGGCTTATTATCACAAAACACAGATCAAGTTTGAATTTTGGTGGCGTCACTTTAACCGTTCTAGAGTTATGCCCCTTTATGAATGGAAAAATTGCAAAATTTTTAGTTTTCGTCCTCTAACTTAAGTTTGCCTCAACCAAATGTTATGAAACTTATATATAATGCTTATTATCACAAAAAACAAATCGAGTTTGAATTTTGGTGGCGTCACTTTAACCGTTCTAGAGTTATGCCCCTTTATAAATGGAAAAAATTGCAAAATTTTTATTTTCTTCTAAATATCAAGTTATTTTTAAAATTGGAGGTATCTTCCTTTGTCCATGATTATAGTTGAATCAACTACAATCAATGCTTTATACAATGCAATGTTTAATTTTGACTTCCACTGATAAAACACAGATCAAGTTGAATTTGGGTAGTGTCACTATAACCATTATTGAGTTATGCCCCTTTATGAATAGAAAAATTGCTGAATTTTTAGTTTCTGTTCTCTACTTAAGTTAGCCTCAACCAAATGTTATGAGACTTACACACAAAACTCAGATCAAGTTCAAATTTGGGTAGCGTCACTTTTACTGTTCTTCAGTTATGTCCCTTTATAACTATATGATATGCAAGCGGGGGCATCATCTGTGTCCACATGTGGACACTATCCACATTTATTTTAATTTTTGATAGAATGTACGTCATTATCAAAAAATATCATCTGAGAAAATTTTTGTTGTTGTTGCTTTCCATATTTTACTGATGGATTGAATTTGGTTTTTAAAGTAGTTAACTATTACATACAGTCTGCTTTTACTTATAGATATTTCATGGATATATGTTTTGTTATAAGTAAGTACATGTGACTTTCAGTCCATTTTGCATAACTATCATACCCCTCAACATAGGAGGGGAGATAACGGTTAAGGTTTGTCTGTCCGTCTGTCTATTTTTTTCATCTGTTCCTAAATATTTTGGTCACACTTTTCTCAGGAACTACAAAACAGGGCTCTCGGTCATAAAACTTTACTCAGTACTCTTGAGTACAAAAATTGTGCTCGAAACACCAAATCCAGTATTTTAATTGGTTGATTTCTGAGTCTGAGTAGGAAAATCGTGCTCGAAATTTTTATGACCGCAAGGCCAGAGCTTCCTGAAATTTTGTATCAAGCTTCTTGAGGGCATATTGTGTGATCCATTTCACATTTATCCCTTTGTATCAAGCTTCTTAATGAGAGCATAGTGTGTGATGCATTTCACATTCATCTCTTTGTATCAAGCTTCTTGAGAGCATATTGTGTGATGCATTTCACATTCATCCGATCCCTTAACAACTTCCTGTTTACAGAATACCGGTACTAATGTATTCTTTCACATAATGGCCATGTATGGAATGTTCATCACATTTTTCCCAGGAACTCAAAATCAGAGCTAAAAATAGTATCAGGAATCCCTGATCATTATTTTACTGAAGGAGTTCGTAATAGGTTATAATTTAATTTAAAAAAGTGGAGAATATACTAAGGTGGCAATCAAACCCATAAGTTCAATAAAACCAAACAACACCATGATTGAAAGGAAAAAGAGGGAAAAGACAAACAACAGTTAACAAAATACCACTGAGTACAGATAATTAAAGGTGGAGCAATATAGACCCCATCAGAAAGGTGCTACCGAGTGGTAAGATATATCAACATTCACCTGGTTGCAAAGAATGTATACTTTTTCTGCTACTTAGTTGTTTTCTAACAGTATTATTGGTCAAATGCCCTAAACAAATCATCTGGGATAAACTGGGTAATTGATCATTGGAAGTCAAGTAAGGCACTAAGAAGAATGTAATTTTGATAGACTTGTAGCATCAAAAACGTTTTGTTTGCAAAAGTTTGTCTGAATACATTTGAAGATTTAGATTTGCATAACATGTCTTCTCTGACAGATGTTCAATAAACAACACATGTTCCAGATAGTCTGGCTGGGTACAAGCACATAATGTGATGGGATTAAACCAGTTTTACATGTGCTAAGAACTCCCCTTTACCACCTACACCATCACCTTATGTTGTAAAAGTAAAACACATACTAAGAAACCTGCACAATGCAGAAGTATATATTTATATCCCGCTCAACACAGTCAGTCCTGAACTTGTCATCCCAACTCCTCTGAAACCACACAACAGAATTTCATGAAACTTTGACGATAATAAGGACATACTATGTAGATGTGCATATTGACTGGAAATTATAAAAAAAAAAATTCTAGGAGTTACCGGGTATTTCCACTTGAACTTAGAATTTTGGCCCAAATATACTATTGCAACAGTTTGTCATTGCAACTCCTCTGAAACCACACAACAGAATTTCATGAAACTTTGTAGATAATAAGGACAATATATGTAGATATGCATATCGACAGGAATTTAGGCCTAAATATACTATTGCAACAGTTTGTCAGTGCAACTCCTCTGAAACAACACAATAGAATTTCATGAAACTTTGTAGATAATAAGGACATATTATGTAGATGTGCATATCGACAGGAAATTAGAAAAAAAAATTCTAGAAGTTACCGGGTATGCCCCTTTAAACTTAGAATTTTGGCCCAAATATACCATTGCAACAGTTTGGTATTGCAACTCTTCTGAAACCACACAACAGAATTTCATGAAACTTTGTAGATAATAAGGACAATATATGTAGATATGCAGGAAATTATGATTCAATTTTTTTTTCGTGGAGTTATGCCCCTTTGAACTTAGAATTTTGGCCATGATATACTACTTCAACAGTTTGTAAGCGCAACATCTCTAAAACAACCCAACAGTTTTTGATGAAACTTTGTAGATAATAAGGAAATATTATGTTAATGTGCAAATAGACAGAAAATTATGATTCAATGTTTTTTCTAGGAGTTATGCCCTTTTGAACCTAAATATACTACTGCAACAGTTTGTCAGCACAACTCCTCTCAAACCACACAACATAATTTCATTAAACTTTGTAGTTAATGAGGATATGATATGTTGATGTGCATATCCACAAGGAATGTTTATCAGTTGACTTTTGTAGGAGTTATGAGTCTTTGAACTTAGGAATCTGGTGAGATTTTGTTTCCTCAGTGACAATTGTAAGGGCATAGGGTATGTGAGCGTGCTTACAAAGGTTCTTTAATCTAAAAAGTTTTTTTATGTTTGCTTCAAGTTTTTATGAGTTATATGGTCTGTCTTTCAGATGTATTAGACAAAGCTATAGAAGCAGGCTGGGATTACTTTGATGTAAAGGTAGGAATAAATTATTTATAACAGCATATGATCAATTTAATTTAAAAAGATTTTGAAAGCGTTAATGTAATGACCATTTTTGCACATGATTTCATACTCAGTATGTTTGTAATTCATAAGTTAAACCAAGTTGACTTCACTTTTACATAATTTATGATAAAAAATGTTTCTAGTGATATGAACATGTAGTGTTTATTATTATACCCCCGCTTTAAAAAAGTGGGAGTATACTGTTTTACCTCTGTCTGTCTGTCTGTCAGTCCATCCATCCATCAGTCCATCCATCCGTCAGTCCGTCAGTCCGTCCCATGAATATTTTCGTCGCATCTCAGGAACTACATTACAAAGATTTCTGAAATTTGGTTTCAGGGTTTATATAAGTCAGCTATACTGGGTGATGCGTTTTCAGATTTATCACTCAACAACTTCCTGTTTTACCAAAATATTTGGGCAGGGGTATCATCAGTGAGCAGTAGCTTGCAGTTTCACTTGTTGAGAAAGATTTTATTAATGCGAAAAATGCAACAGTATCAGGTTAGCAATAATAAAAACTTGTATTCATAATTTCTGTAGTGATTTTCCTTCATAAAATTTTTGCTATCTCAATAGATTTTTCATTTTTGCCAGAAGTCAAGGATTCTCAATAATTAATTTCTGAATTTACAGTAATACAAAAGTATGTGACATTATATTAAATGTGTTGTGTTGAGACAAAACAAGTGTAATGTACAGAGATACTGATTGTTTCTGACCATCTAGAACTGAAGTTAGATTCTATGTGTGCACTTGGGATGTTTATCATCCAAGCTTCATAGTATATGCATATGCAGAGTTACAGTAAATTCACCATTAAATTCATTGTGTCTTGTTTGTGGATTGACATGGAAAGTAGAACTTTGACTGGCACAGTTGATGGGTCGGAAATTTTGCTTTATTTTTCTGAGAGTTGTACTCTTTAATTATGGAACATTGGATTTCAAGTCCGTGGTCAAAGTAAACACTAACACTGTTTGAATTATATGTATCAGACCTTTTATAGCTTACTATATGGTTTGGCTTTTGTTCATTTTTGAAGGTTGTACAGTAACCTATAGTTGCTTTCATCTACATCATTTGGTCTCTTGTGGATACTTGTCTCATTGGCAATTATACCACATGTTTTTTTTTATTATTTTTTTATGAGATTGAAGATTGAATTAATTTGGTGTTAAAATGGATAAAAATGCAGGTTTGCAATTATTAAGTGTTAAAAATATTATCTAAACAGTGTTGAATTTGTTCACTGGAACCATTTTATCAAGTATCAAACTAAAGCCAAAGTGTAGTATATTTTGCATATAATGTATAAACATATAATGTAATGAAGAAAACATATTTTTTGTCAGTTTGGAATCAAGTTATATAGTCATTTCTGCACATTTGTCAGTTTGGAATCAAGTTATATAGTCATTTCTGCACATTTGTCAGTTTGGTATCAAGTTATATAGTCATTTCTGCACATTTGTCAGTTTGGAATCAAGTTATATAGTCATTTCTGCACATTTGTCAGTTTAGAATCAAGTTATATAGTCATTTCTGCACATTTGTCAGTTTGGAATCAAGTTATATAGTCATTTCTGCACATTTGTCAGTTTGGAATCAAGTTATAAAGTCATTTCTGCACATTTGTCAGTTTGGAATCAAGTTATAAAGTCATTTCTGCACATTTGTCAGTTTGGAATCAAGTTATAAAGTCATTTCTGCACATTTGTCAGTTTAGAATCAAGTTATAAAGTCATTTCTGCACATTTGTCAGTTTAGAATCAAGTTATAAAGTCATTTCTGCACATTTGTCAGTTTAGAATCAAGTTATAAAGTCATTTCTGCACATTTGTCAGTTTGGTATCAAGTTATATAGTCATTTCTGCACATTTGTCAGTTTGGTATCAAGTTATATAGTCATTTCTACACATTTGTCAGTTTGGTATCAAGTTATATAGTCATTTCTGCACATTTGTCAGTTTGGTATCAAGTTATATAGTCATTTCTACACATTTGTCAGTTTGGTATCAAGTTATATAGTCATTTCTGCACATTTGTCAGGACATTTTGAACTTTCTATATGTCTTCCAGTATGTTTTATTGAAAAATACATCTGATTTCAGGACCACATTATTATCATTGAAGAAGAACTGATCTTAGCTCCAGATTTCTTGTCATTCATGCAGCAGTGCCTTAATGTATTTGACAGTGATCCTACTATACTGGCTGTCTCTGGATGGAATTACAATGGTAAAGTATAATACAAGTTGACTGACAAATTTTTTCTGTTTCTGCTCATTCACTGAAATTTCCCCCATGTTTTATTCATATTACATTTTAGAATATGCTTTCCTGGTTTAATATTAATGAAAAAGATAGGTAGATTTCATGTGAAATGCTTAATTTCTTGAATACTGTGGATTCATTTTTATTGGTGGTTTACCAATTTTCGTGGGTTTCGTGGGTCACAGCAAACCACGAATTTAAGAATTCAACGAAGAATAATCTCGAGAAATGTGTATGGAGTCAGATGTTTATTTCCAGTTATGTTATGCAGTTCTAGTATAGTGTTGACTAGTAATAAACATTGTAACATAACACGTGTTTTTAATGAAAGAAGATACAAGTATTTTGATTAAATCAATAATAAATAAATCGAATATCAGTGATAATTTACTTTTTAAAATTGATTAAAACTGTTCATGGAAAATAACTGCAAGTTGTTAATTACCGTGTCATAGTTTGGTTTACTGGTGATTAAGAATCAATAGTATTAAGTACGGGGATATTGCCCGTAGGTAATATTGACAGGAGCATGTATTTTCACACCTTTTACTTATATGACTGTTTATTATATCGTGATTAGGGAAATGAGCTTTCAATCATAGAGTTTTGAATGCCTTATAAAATTCCGACAAGAATTTATAAATTGTAAAACAAACAAATAATTAGTTGTCTCTGTCCATTATTGTAGTAGAAGTTTTCAATGAACACTTTAACCTAGAATGACCAAGCGAGGATTTTGACAATTCAAAACTTTTTCAATGAATTCCTTCTTTTTTGTTTGTTTTATTATTGATCAAACCAAGGAGGTTATATGATCTAAATCAAAAAGAAATCCACGTATTACGTATCTGATTTTTTTTTTTTTTTGTAATCAGCGATCCACGGATTTACGTATACCACGAAATGTCTTTTTTTCTCTATCCACGAAAATTGATACCCACGAAAATAAATAAATCCACAGTATTAAGAGAATTTTTTTTTAAGTTTGTTTGGCTTTTGTATACATTTCTTTAATATTTTAATTTCCTGGTATATATATATTATTTTGACTTCAACCCTTCTTACTTTTTTCTCTGTAATTATGCATAATAATGTTTTGGTAATAGGTTATGATGTCACATCTGGAGATAGAGAGGCGGTATATAGAGTGGAAGAATTTCCAGGATTAGCTTTCATGTTACGCAGAAACGTTGTAGAGAAATATATGTTAGGAAAACTCTCCAAGTGTTGTCATAAAAGGTAATAAGTTTTAAGATTCTTGTTTAAAAAGGTGATCTGGTTTATGTGTTAAGTATGTGTGTATGTAATTTTTTTACAGAAACTCCCTTTTGTACAGAAATTTATACATAGATTATATAAACATGTAAAGGATGACACATCATCTTAAATTAGCCTCTAAACTATTGCGTATCATAAATGATTCTTTTCCCACTTCATTGAAAATAGCTTCCAAAACTATTGCGTATCATAAACATGATAAATGATTCTTTTCCCACTTCATTGAAAATAGCTTCCAAAACTATTTGCATAGTATAAATTTTACCACTTGACTGAAATAGGAAAGGTTTAATATCTAAGCTTTCTTGGATTGACCCATATATAAAGAAGGCAATCATTAACTAAGGATTATGTTGTAAATATGTTAGATTGTTTTTATCACAAGCTTATAAGCATTATATTTTAATCTTTGATTATAAATCTGTTCAAGGATAAAGATTATCTAGGGTTGGGTTTGTGTTGGATTAAATGTCATCTGGTATGTTCAAAAGCCAGATCTCATAATATCAAATGAATATTTAAAAACATGGTGCATTGAGAATAAAAGACTGAAAAAGTATCAAAATAGATATCATAAGTTTATTATACTCAAGCTCCAAAGGAGGAAGAAATACTTGTTTATCTCTGTTCGTCATTCTGTCCCTTACACGTTTTTCTTAGCACCTACAAGTCGTACTTTCTTTATATATTGCACCAAGCTTCATCTGTTTATATCATACAGTGTTAAACATTTCCTTTAATCTTCCTGTTTGCTGAAAAAATGATATGTGTAAAATATCATGCTACTACCAGTATATGAAATTTCATGACATTTGTATAGTCAACAACAATGACAGAGCAGGGTTGTAGAACAATAATTCACAGTACATTTTCTTTTATTCTTTTTAATGAAAATTTACAACCTACAATGTCTATGGTCTGGTAATCTTTTTTTGGCAATTTGATTCATATATTTATTATACTGTGGATCAATTTATTTTTGTGAGTACCAATTTTCGTGGATTGAGGAAATAGTATGCTTTATGGGTATTTGATTTTGTGGTTTTGCCAAAGTCTGCATGCAAGTCTATATAAAATTTATACATCATTGAACATTCAAATTCCTGGTTCACCTGTTTCCAGGGAAATTGGTATCCCAGCAATAATTAATCTTGATTAAAGCAACGAAAAATGAACAAAAAACTTGCAAACAATTATCATGTGTGTAATTTGAATAACTTTCAGAGTATGGGACCATTGGATTCTAACTGATGAATCAGGGAATGAGATAACAGGAGATGTTATAGTACCAGATGTATCAAGAGTGTTTCATCAACCATATCAAAGTGCCAAAGATGAAGATAAACACCTTGTAGAACTGTTCCAGAAACCAAGACTTACTAATGTGTAAGTTACTATACTTTAAGCTATAAGTAAACTGTACAAGGACACAGAATACTTCAGATACATAGAAATAAGTGCCTTCTTTTATGCTAAATTTGCAAATTCGTGCAAATTTTTGTATAGTCTTAAATTTTTATGATGTTGTTTCTTAAGACAAACTATATCATATGTTGATGATATTTTGTATGCATTTAGAACTCCTTGAACTGCAAATGAATATTAAAAAAGTGGTAGATGTTGCAATTTAATTCCAGAGATTCATGAATTAAAATATGAATTTTCACACAAATTTCGATTTTCTTGAAAATATGTCAAATTATTTTTATTTCAAATTGATATGTTATTGCTGTCATCTAATTGGTCATCCCCTATCCAAAATTTTACTGTTAAACATGCGAAATGTTAGGGGGAGTTTGGCGCGCCTTCAAACTAGTTTAACCCCGCCACATTCTGTATGTGCTTGTCCCAAGTCAGGAGCCTGTAATTCAGTGGTTGTCGTTTGTTGCTGTATATCAAATTTGTTTTTCGTTCATTATTTTGTACATAAGTGAGGCCGTTAGTTTTCTCGTTTGAATTATTTTACATTGGTCATTTCGGGGCCTTTTATAGCTGACTATGCTGTATGGGTTTTACTCATTGTTGAAGGCTGTACGGTGACCTATAGTTGTTAATTTCTGTGTCATTTGGTCTCTTGTGGAGAGTTGTCTCATTGGCAATCATACCACATCTTCTTATTATTATAATTTAGTTTGACCCAGACTTACAATGTTGGTCTGTAATTTTTCTTATACACAATTGATTGAGATTCAGGAGCCTCTTCTGGTATGACAGAGAAGTCAAAAAGTGTGTCCTATGCAATTCTGCCTTTGGTATATTTGATCATTTTTTAGTAGTCTGAGGTTCTAAATTAAAGTATTGTACAGTTCCATCTTGCATAATGGTTATAGGTTTTAAACTGATTAGTGATTAACTTTAAATGTATGCACAACTTAAGATTTAATTTTTCAGAAATCTTTGTTCAGAAGTCAATGTATCTGTCTTGAAAATAGATTTTCCTAGCATTTGTTTTAGTGCTGGGAAATGATCAGAAAGCAAGATTTTGTATTATCAAAATAAAATATAGGCAAGACATTTCTCTGTGTCAGCAGTTTAATTAATTCATGAATTCATATATTTATATTATACATTTATTTGATGAGAAAGTGAGATTAAAGCATCATATATGCTTTGTTCTATTAATTGAATTAAAAAATTACCTACAGATAAATATACAAAAATGTTCAACTGATTGCTTGTTAAAAGAAGCAGATTTCTCCATAGAAAACCTCATTGAATTGAATAAGGAAATAACAGAATTAAATGGAGAATGAATTTCAAAATCTGTTCATCTGAAGTATATTTATTACAAAACTGATTGAAATTCATTTGAATTTCACCTCGAAAATAATGACTTTTTCTGTTTATTAGTTTTTAAGCTTAATTTTCTTTTCTTGATAAGTATTTATCTGATAAGTAGACAATATATGTAATAAATGTATTCCCATTTGTATTTAAATTAAATTTTATTTTGACTATTGGTTAAGTATGAAGTCTCTCTAGTTCCTGTTGTGGCTTACCTAATTCATTTATAGTTTTGGGGTTATTTTGGACAAATTTAAGATTCAATATAAAAGACAAGTAATTATTCAACATAAAACAATTACAACCCCTGAATTTCTTTAAATATATTTGGTCCCCCCTTTAACTGGAATTGTTGGGAAGTGAGACAATAAATGAGGGTCGTAATGGGGGTACCTTCATGACGAATAACAATAAAAATTCGTGCCAAATAACGTTAACGGTAATTTTTGGTGCATGATGATAAAATGTACACTTTCTTTTAGACGATAAAAAAATTGACTGGTTTTGACGAATCACGTTAAATTTTTTCCAAGAATAACGGTAACGATAATTATTTGAGACCTCTGACAAATCACAGTAAAATTTTAACCAATGACGCTAACAGTAGCCGAAAATGACCGTTTGACGCCTGACGGTAAATTACTACCCTCATATATTGTGATAATTTTCTTGTGTCCTCATTATTTAAACATAATGAAAAATGTTCCAATTGTTTAATCACAATTTCATCCTTTCAATTGTGATATCTCCAAATGAGACTTATTACTGAATTTGTACTTACATGAGCACACAATGGATGTCACATGTGAAGCAGGATCTACTTACCCTTCCAGAGCACCTGAGATCACCCCCAAATTTTGGTAGGTGTGGCTCAGTCTTTAGTTTTCTGTGTAGTGTTTTGTGGTCTTGTTTTTCTTTGTCTTTGTTTTTTATTGTTTTTGCCATGCCATTGTCAGATTGTCTTAGACTTATGAGTTTTGAATTTCCCATTGGTATCTTATGCATCTTTTTTGCATTCTAATTAAAATCAAGTATAAAGAAGTTCTTTATGATAGGCTATCAATATCGATATGCATCAGGCATTAGGCTCAGTCTCCATAATCATGTCTTAGTTATTTTGTATGTTTTATGCAGTCATATTGCAAGTTTCTTGTCCAAGTCTATTTATACAGAAGTACTTGCAATAGATATTGATAACATGTATGCCTCTGTTGAAGCAGTTATGTTGAAAGGAGAATATTTATTATATGAGGCTCTTCAATGGTAGTCATTCATCATTTACTGTAATTGTAAAGAACCAATTATATATCTTCATGAAAAAATAACTTCCATAAAGACTAAATGTTGCCCTTTAAAAGACTTTTCTAATTTGATTGTCTCACTTGTTATGAATTTAGCAAAATATGAGACATTTACAGAAATTTAATCCCACAGCAGTGATAGCTCATACCTGCTAGACAGATAATTAGTGGTATAAAGTTGATAGCCCATACCTGCTAGACAGGTAATTAGTGGTATGAAGTTGATAGCTCATACCTGCTAGACAGATAATTAGTGGTATGAAGTTGATAGCTCATACCTGCTAGACAGACAATTAGTGGTATGAAGTTGATAGCCCATACCTGCTAGACAGACAATTAGTGGTATGAAGTTGATAGCCCATACCTGCTAGACAGATAATTAGTGGTATGAAATTGATAGCCCATACCTGCTAGACAGATAATTAGTGGTATGAAGTTGATAACCCATACCTGCTAGACAGACAATTAGTGGTATGAAGTTGTTAGCCCATACCTGCTAGACAGATAGTTAGTGGTATGAAGTTGATAACCCATACCTGCTAGACAGATAATTAGTGGTATGAAGTTGATAGCCCATACCTGCTAGACAGATAATTAGTGGTATGAAGTTGATAGCCCATACCTGCTAGACAGATAATGAGTGGTATGAAGTTGATAGCCCATACCTGCTAGACAGATAGTTAGTGGTATGAAGTTGATAACCCATACCTGCTAGACAGATAATTAGTGGTATGAAGTTGATAGCCCATACCTGCTAGACAGATAATTAGTGGTATGAAGTTTGCATCTTGGAATTGTCCTTGTCCTCATTTTATAGTTTAATGACTGCATAAGGAAACTGTATAGGTTTTAACCATGTTTTCCTTTCAGTTGTTATGAGTAATAGGACCTCAATATTTGGCCCATAGGATCATTACATGATGCACATGAACTATGGTAGTCTTCACTTGTATTACCACGTTTCATGGTTCTTTGATGTTTTGTGATAAGTTCAGGTTTCTCTGTTATTACTATTGTAGATCCATTTTAAGGTGTGCATTACTTGGATCTTGGATTTTTCATGATTTATTACATACCCTGCAAACAAAGTTTGGAAGTATATAGGAATTACCTTGTCCATCTCTCTGTCTGTTTGTTTGTCCCACTTGGTGTCTGGCATTTAATTTGTTCCATTGAACTTAGGTTGATCAAACTTGGTATGCAGATGCTTCATTGGCTGGAGGGGGTGTCATATGCCAAATTTAGGTCACTCTGACCTTGATTTTGACCCCTATGATAGCAAAACCTTGTCTGATTTGTGTCCTGCTCGAATAACTTTTGTACCCTAGAACTTGGGTTGATCAAACTTGGTATGCTGATGCATCATGGGATGGGACGTGTCATATATCAAAGTCAGGTCACCCTGACCTTGAATTAGACCATTGACTCCTATGATAGTGAAACACTGTTTAATTTGTGTTCAGTGCATAACTTTTGTACCATAGCACTTAGATTGACAAAACTTTGTAAGCAGAAGCATCATACTGACCTTGAGTTTGACCTCTATGATAGTACAACATTGTCTGATTTCTGTATGGTGCATATTTATTGTACTGTAGCACTTATATTGACATACTTTGTATGCAGAAGCATGATTGGATCAGGATGTGTCAAATACCAAAATCTGGTCATTCTAACCTTGACCCTTGACTCCTATGATAGTTATTTGTCTTAGGGTCATAACTGTCCCCTGGAAAATTAAGTGTACAGATGCATTATTAGAAGATGAATTGTCAGTAAGATTATGTCATTGTGGTTTGAGCTTTGACCCCAAAAAAGTTGATTTACCTTTAACATTGATTCCAGCAAAATTATTTCTGAATATGTATGATATATTTACCTCTGGAAATTAAGCAAACAACATTCAATGATAAAGAGTTTTTTCAATGGTTTCCAAAGAAGCCTATTACTTGGAATTTATTTATCTTTAACAGATATTAGTTGAAAAATTACAAATAATAAAAAATCCCAATATTTTTTAATTTGTTCTAATATTGAAAAACACTATTTCATGATGAAGATGAAGAAATCAATTAATATTGATATTACAGGGGATTAATACCTATTTTGTCAATAAAAGAAATACATTTTATACCTTTTTCACATGTTTAATAAATTGAAACTACAATAGAAACATGATAAAATTTCAGAATAACAAAAAAAATTGTTTGCACGTTAAATAGAGATATTTCCTCGGAGATTATAAAGATTAATATTATATAGAAAAGTGTGAATCTACACCTATAGATTCTCTCCATCCTAATAATCTGTTATATTAGATCAATATTATCCTGTTCCTATCAAGTTGACAGCAATATTGCTTCCAACATATTGGTCCCCTGGGCTTTCAACAGAAATTTAGAAAGAAATTTATTTTAATTGGTCTCTGGTTAGAAGCACCTGTCAGATTAACTTATTTTCTTGCTAAATGAATTTGTCAAATAGAATTTATGTTTTATTTCTAGCATATGTTTTGTAACCTTTCTTTTATGCATAACAGTTTGTATCAAAAATAGTGTTTAATTAATAAATTTCATTCAAATTAACTTTTGCATGCACTCACACATTTTATACGAATGGCTAAAAACAGGGATTATATCAGTATTTTGTTGATGTCATAGCTAATAACTGCACCACAGTGGATTCTTAAAGATATTAAATTTCTGTTAAAGACGTCTTAATTTTATAATTCATCTTGTTCCAGAATCGTCTTAATTTGCTAGCTGTTACCATTTTATTTCCATTGTATACAGAGACTGAGAGATACATCATGTATCATTTTCATCAAGGGGAACCTTTTAAAATTTCATTTCCCAAATATATTAACTGCTTCAAGTTAAGTCTTGAAAAATGCACATGCTATTTATGGATTATTTTTCTTTAGTACTATCAGTTAAATTGTCATATTCAAATGTTATTGACAATTACAGAAAAGAAATAAATAGAAATTCTGTTTGAAAACAAAAATAAACAGTATAAAACATGGTGAAATGTACCTTATCATCAATTTTGTTGAGTTATTTTGGTGGTATTCGGTAAACTGAAACAAGTAACAGTCTTTTTTATTCAAGTAATGAAAATTGAAAAGAAAAATTGATATATCATTCTTCAAGTAAGTAGATGTGACAGGAAATGCCATGCAAATGAAAACAACACTTGTTGAAAACAACAGATGGGGATCCAGGATTTTGAAAAAGGGGGAGCCAAACTAGGCAGGGTTAGGAGTTTGAAATATTAAGTACCTGTCTTTGTAAAAAGCATGCAGAGGGTGATTCATGACATGTCACAAAAGTATTTTTTTTTGCCCTTTATCATAAGAACACAAGTAGATGAGTAAAATTCTGTCTTTTTTCCCTGTATAATGTGCGTTTCCATGGTAACAGTCAGAACAACATTTTGCCCGAAAAGGTGAAAAAAGTAGCTTTTGAAAATTGAAAAATAAGGGATATTAAAGTATCGTTGCAATAAAGTTAAGAAATACAAACAATAAGCATTTTTACATTGTTGACAAACAAAACTCCAAACTATTCAAAAACGTTTAAATTTTGAATTTACTCAATAGTTTGTTTCCATAGCAACCATTTAAAAATATGCTAAAATTCGATAATAAAAAATTTCAAAAATCGCTAAATTTTATTTCTGTTTATCTCCCAAGACCAACAATACCTTAACATGTCACTGACAAATTTTGAAAGACAACATATTATATATTCATGAAATGAAAAGAAAGTCATACGTTTTTTTTTCTTTAAAAAAATATTTTCATTAAAAAATTGTCAATTTTCACAAAAATCCAGATTTCCATACAGATAAACAATCAAAGATCTTGAACTTAATGAGCCAAACTCATCCATTTATATGTGTAATTCGGACACACATTTGTTAATTATAAATGAGAATATATATGATTTATGAAGATATATTGGTACAGAATGAAAATTAATCACTCTGGGTATTTCAAAATTATAAAATTTATTTAAAAATAAAAAGTTTATGCATTTTCCATATATTTAGCTTCATAAAGTGGTGCCAGGCCCACTGCCCTCTAAATCTGCATCTGTAAGTTGGATGTTTAAAGTGCTTTTCAGGATTTACCTTCATCAGAAATGCTCAAACCCAAAATTTTGAAAGCTATAAGTGTGTAAAAATACTGAAATACCTGAGGAGACCAAAAGAGACCTAAAAAGAAGAGCCAAATCTGGCTCATTGCTAAATCTATCATCAAAAAGTATGTTATATGTCATGTTAGTACTGAAGCACTGACTACAGAGGTGATGATACCCTGACTATCAATCTACCTATAATGATATAGTGCTTGAAAATGAGATTAATACTCTTCTATTTTTATGAGTCCAATTAAGAGTTTTTCTGGTTTAATGTAGATCATGAACAAGTGTAAGCCAATGATGTATAATTTATTCTATGAATATGTGTTCTCAAATTATAGATCCAATGTAAAATTTTAAGTTCACAATACAAAAATTAAAGCAAAGTGTACTCCTCAGTGCTCACAATTACTTGATTCTTCAAAAAATAATTTATCTGTTCATTTTTATACGACCTTGAAAAAATTTTTGAGGTCGTATATTGGTATGACGTTGGCGTCGGCAGCGTCGTCGTCATCCGAAGACACATTGGTTTTCACACAATAACTTTAGTTTAAGTGAATGGATCTCTATGAAATTTTACCATAAGGTTCAATACCACACAAGGAAGGTTGGGATTGATTTTGGGGATTATGGTACCAACAATTAAGGAATTAGGGGCCAAAAATAAGCATTTTTCTAGTTTCCAGAAAATAACTTGTGGAACGGTGTATGGATCTCTCTGAAATTATACCACAAGTTTCCATACCACAAAGGGATGGTAAGAATTTGCTTTGGGGGGTTATGGCTCAAACCGTTTAGGAATTAGGGAAAAAAAAAGGGGGGAAAACAAGGTTGTCCTGGTTAATGGACAAATACTTTAGTACCAAACATAATTAAAAGCAGTGTAAGGGAGGTAATTCAAATGCATCATTTGAATTACATCCCTTACACTGCTTTTTAATTATGTATAAAGTAATGGTTTATGAACAATTAAGACAATTTAAAAGCAGTGTAAGGGAGGTAATCCAAATACAACGTTTTGATTACCTCCCATACACTGCTTTTTAATTATGTTTAAAGAAATGCATATTTATAAAGGAAGACCAGTAAAAATATCTGCAAATGTTGCATCTTTTTTTTTTTACACAAAAATCCATATGAAAGATTTGCCACCATATTTTAAATTCTATTATAAAATAGATTAAGTTAGCACTGTGGTAAATTTAAACTGGTAATTATGGTTGCAAACTCCATTGAAAATTTGAATTGAGATTATGACCATATCTTGAGGGAAAAAATTTTTTTGGGGGAAAAAGGGGGGAGGGGTAAAAAGAAATTGTGGGGGGTCAATTTTTTCTCATTTCAGATTTCAGAAATTAAAAAAGAAAAATTCTTCAAATATTATTTTTTGCAAAAAAAAAGTGTGTGGGGGGGGGGGTTAATACGCAACAGCATAGTGTATTGCACAAAAGCAAAAAATTGAATATAAATTCAAATCATATAACCAATTCTATGTTCTTTGACTACAGTTATTCTGTGTCAGAAACCTTTTATGTGTCAAATATTTAATTACAATCCAAATTCAGACCTGTATCAAGCCGAATATTGGGTCCATTTTTGCCCCAACTGTTCAGGGTTGGACCTCTGCGTTCGTATCCAGCTGCGCTCGGCGAAGCAATTTATTCTTGATTGTATTTAATTATCTTTCATAACACAAGTATATATAAGTTCCACAGTTACAGTCATGAACTATAAGAATAATTATTTGTTTAAATTGTCAATGAAGTTACTTAAATATTATTAATTCATATGCTAATAGCGTGTTAAGATATTTTCTTATTAAAGAATTTCTTTTCTTAATATTCCACAAAAATAATAAAATTTATTAGTAATATTCTCTATTCGTTCAATTTTTACAAGCACTGAATGATGTATTGCTGCAACCTGAAGTTGAATATGATTTATTCATTGATTGATTAATGTTTAAAGCCACTTTCTACACTATTGTGCTATTTCTTGGCGGTCAGTTTTTATTGGTGGAGGAAGCCAGAGTGCCAAAATAGATATGAATTATCTGATTAATAGCTGAGCTTTGAAAATATAATTTATTGATTATTTTCAAAGGAGGTAAAGAAAAAAATTATTAGAAGTCTATACCGAGAATCCTCATTAAAATACATTAAGAGTAATAAAATAATACTGATAATTTTTGTTTTCTTTTACAGAGAAGGTGATATGACATTAAAAAACATGGATGATTTGAGTTCAGAAAAATATGATGCCTTAATACAAAGTTTTATTGAAAACAGTGAAGAATTTTCATTGGAACATTTACAGAACTGTATACAAGACCCAGTGCTAAAAGTACCCGTAGTGGCAGATTCAAAGTAAGATACACAAGTTTCTCAAAAACGAATTTTAGTAAACTTTACAATTTTAGTTAATTTTCATGAACACCTGTTGGTCCTTCCAATGTCATCGTTCATGTCACTCAAGTAAAGAGTTACTACTGAATGTTACTAATACAAGCACACTTTCTGGTCATACGATGACATGAGTTCATTACAAGCACACTTTCTGGTCATACGATGACATGAAATCATTACAAGCACACTTTCTGGTCATACGATGACATGAGTTCATTACAAGCACACTTTCTGGTCATACAATGACATGAGTTTATTACAAGCACTCTTTCTGGTCATATGATGACATGAATTCATTACAAGCACACTTTCTGGTCATATGATGACATGAATTCATTACAAGCAAACTTTCTGGTCATACGATGACATGAGTTCATTACATGCACACTTTCTGGTCATATGATGACATGAATTCATTACAAGCACACTTTCTGGTCATATGATGACACGAATTCATTACAAGCACACTTTCTGGTCATATGATGACATGAGTTCATCACAAGCACACTTTCTAGTCATACAATGACATGAGTTCATTACATGCACACTTTCTGGTCATATGATGACATGAGTTCATACAAGCCCACTTTCTGGTCATACAATGACATGATTTCGTTACAAGCACACTTTCTGGTCATACGATGACATGATTTCATTACAAGCACACTTTCTGGTCATACAATGACATGAGTTCATTACATGCACACTTTCTGGTCATACAATGATATGAGTTCATTACATGCACACTTTCTGGTCATACAATGACATGAGTTCATTACAAGCACACTTTCTGGTCATACAATGACATGAGTTCATTACATGCACACTTTCTGGTCATACAATGACATGAGTTCATTACAAGCACTTTTTCTGGTCATATGATGACATAAATTCATTACAAGCACACGTTCTGGTCATATGATGACATGAATTAATTACAAGCACACTTTCTGGTCATACAATGACATGAGTTCATTACAAGCACACTTTCTGGTCATATGATGACATTAGTTTTTTACAAGCACACTTTCTGGTCATACGATGACATGAGTTCGTTACAAGCATACTTTCTAGTCATACGATGACATAAGTTCATTACAAGCATACTTTTTAGTCATATGATGACATAAGTTCATTACAAGCACACTTTCTAGTCATACCATGACATGAATTCATTACATGCACACTTTCTAGTCATATGATGACATGAGTTCATTACAAGCACACTTTCTTGTCATACAATGACTTGAGTTAAGAATTTTTAAGCAGGTCTTTACAAAGAATCAAATACATAAGAGGAATGTGTATAATGCAGTGCACTAGACAAAGAGTTCTGATTTCCCAGGAGTTCTTTATCATATGGCTGTCATTTTATGTAAAATATAATATTATAAAGCGTTAGATATGATCTTTATGAAATCTGCAGTAAGTGTGTAGTTGATGTTAAAAACTATGTCTGACTGGTTCAAATAATTTTTTTACAACTTTAAGCGTGACAATTAAATCTCAATTATCAAAAATGAAGAACAAATGACATTTGCAATATGTAAATAAGGAGTTGGGGTATGATTTCCAATGAAACAACTATCCATTAAAGTTAACTAAACAGTAGATCTACAAAAGTAAAAAAAAATTTAATCAAGTCACATGTATATATCCCTTTCAATATTTGAAAAGAGATGTATGTATGTTCAAGTCAGATCGCCCAGGCTCAGTAGCACCATGGATGCTTTGTATGAATTATAGATGAGTTTCACACACTTGGAGTTACGTTTAGGATTATATACTTTTCCCAAAATGATGGAATTTTTTCCATTATTGAGATAATGAGCTGCTTTAAGGTTTATTAGTGTGTAGATTGGGTACTGACTGAGTTTAAATATCATTAGGGATCACACACTTTTCATGGACAATATGGCCTTTGACCTTTAATTAAACTCAGAATTTTACCTTAAATGGGAGAAAACAAGGGCATGAGAGAAACCATACATGTATATATCATTTTTCTTGCAGAGTTTTAAAACTGTTCGGTGTTAAAACAAAATTTTACAGGTAAATCTAAATGAAATTCATCTGAATGCAAACAGTTCCACCAAAGAATTTTCATTTTAATGACTAGCAATTAAAATAGCATTTTTATTGATGGGTTTTATACATTTTAACATCACTTTATGTGAAAAAACTTTGCTAAGTACATATTAGTTCCATGTGATACTGCCAAAAATTTTATGTCCTGCTCCCACAATTTTATCATCATGCTTCCCTAGGGAAAAGTATATACAAGTATCAATAAATATTTCAAAAACTAGCATATTGATAAGAATTATTTTACATCATACTGATGAAGGATATTGGTAGACGAAATATTTATTGACACTTGTATTCACTCTTTCTTTTTTTTATTTTGGTATTGCTTTGTACATTTTTAAGGCGTATATTTAATTTATTAATTAATTATATATAGTAATGTTCTTTATAATAATCCAACGCCCTCATAATAAAGACTGTTGTCTATTATATAGATGTTTGACATATATCTATACCTAGATATATTCATCTTAATTGAAATCAGATAATTTAGGGTGGAAATTGCTGATGACAAAAAAAAATAATGGCAGGGAAAAATACTCAAATGTTCTATATTTTAGTTCATAATTAATAAAAAATAACAAATAATTTAACAATTCTTTTTGATCCATTTTATTTTCAGTTTTTAATCTCATGCACCAGAAAATGCTAAATGCTTCATGTTGTACTTTTTTCATTATTTGCTTAGTCATGTTGGTTAAAGATATAATCAATAGTTAATGATAATTACCTTGCAGATGAATTGAAATGATAAAATTGTGTTATTGATACGGAAAAGTAAAATTTTTTTTAACATTTTGTATTCTGTAAACCTACTTATTTCATGGATACTTTACTTCCTGTTTAGATCTTACCGGCTGACTTTTGTCGAGTCTGTGACTTTTGTCGCAGAAAGCTCGATATAGGGATAGTGATCCGGCAGGGGCGGCGTTAACTAACTACTTAAAAGCTTAATATTTCAGAAAGTAGAAAACCTGGATGCTTCATACTTTGTATATAGATGCCTTATGTTATGAAGTTTCTGTCTGTCATATGTCCTTTCTCCTTGACCTCATTTTCATGGATCAGTGACTACTTGAAAAAAAAGTTAAGATTTTTTGTAATGTTAATTTCTCTCTTATTATAAGTAAATAAACTCATCATAGATACCAGGATTAAATTTGTATTTACGCCAGACGCGCGTTTCGTCTACAAAAGACTCATCAGTGACGCTCGATTCCAAAAAAGTTAAAAAGGACAAATAAAGTACGAAGTTGAAGAGCATTGAGGACCAAAATTCCTAAAAGTTTTGCCAAATACAGCTAAGGTAATCTATTCCTGAGGTAGAAAAGCCTTAGTATTTCAAAAATTCATAAGTTTAAAAGGATAACTATATTTGGTATGTGCGTACCTTGCACGGTCCTCATGCCTGTCAGACAGTTTTCACTTGACCTCGATCTCATTTCATGGATCAGTGAACAACGTTAAGTTTTTGTGGTCAAGTCCATATCTCAGATACTATAAGCAATAGGTCTACTATATTTGGTGTATGGAATGATTGTAAGGTGTACATGTCGAACTTGCAGGTCATCTCACCTTGACCTCATTTTCATGGTTCCTTGGTCAATTTTAATTTTTCCTGGTTGTTTGTTTCTTAGATACTATATTTGATATGTCAACTATATTTGATCCATGGAATGATTGTAAAGTGTACATGTCTGTCTGGCAGGGTTCATCTGACCTTGTCCTCATTTTCATGATTCATTGGTCAATATAAAGTTTTCGTGGTTTGGTCTTTTTCTTGTATACTATAAGCAATGTATGGAATGATTGTAAGGTGTACATGTATTTCTGGCTTAGTTTATCTGACTTTGGCTTATTTTCTTGGATCATGTTAGGTTAATGTGATACTTGTAGTAAAACTTTATATTTAGGGCTATCAACATAAAATCAATGGTTGTAAAGCAGGCGAGACATTTCAGCGTGTGCACTCTTGTTAAAATTTTCTATGTATTTATATTAGGAAAGATCAAGTATTTTCATACTTGTGGCAATTATAAAAGCATTATTTTTCTACCCGCTAAAATGAATTGTTGCAAAAATGAGTTGATTTACAGTATTATTAAAAAGAAAATTCATGTCACATATGCTATGTTTAGTATTATCTAGACTTGACTGACTTTCAACATACTATTCAGTAAAAATTAGTTATGCAGGCAAGCTTAAAGCATTCAGACATCCACTCCCTTTTATATAAAAATATGTTATAAATGTTTAATTTGTGTCAAATTTATCCCAACAATCTTACAATATAATGTTCGTCCTTCCATTTACCTATATCCCCTGCTCGGTTGCTCCGTAATTTTCGTATCACGCCTTTGAGACATGAGCAGGCATTATCCGCATTGTCACAATGTCTGAGGAGAAGTTATCAAGTTTGCTTTCACCAAGCGTAAAGCTGTCAACAAGAGGGGGAAAAAGACCAGTAATCGGACAATAAACAGATTATCTTGCCTCAGCAGGATTCAAATCCATGTCCATGACATCTTGATAACTTTATATATATTGTACTGTTTATTTTCAGACCAAACTTTGTTATATTTTACCATCAGACTAATAAGAATGACTATGCTGTGTTAAAGAAGATAAGTCGTTGCTTTGGATTATTTTGGGTAGCAGATCACCCTCCAAGGAACCAGTTTAGAGGAGTCATAAGGTTAGAAAGTTTAAATTAATCTTCAGATACTGTTTTCAACATCAATGGTAATTGTTTTTACTAGATACTTGATATTGAATTCATTTTAAAATATCTGGTGAAAACCATTGAAAACAGTAGTAATTATACCTCCAGCAAGCAAAGAATGTTCATCTGTCATTCTGTCTCTCCATCCGTCCATCCCGCACCATATCTAGGGAGTAACGGTTGTACCTTAGAACTTAGGTTGACCAAACATGGTATGCCGATGCATCATGGGAAGCTGGTGTGTCACATGTCAACATCCGATCTCTGACCTAGACTATGACTTTTGACCCCTATGATAGTAAATCTTGTCTGATCTTGTCTGATTGGTGTCTGAGCATAACTGTTGTACTGTAAAACTAAGGTTGACCAGATTTGGTATGTAGATGAATCATGGGACATCGATGTGTCACTGTAACATTAACTTTGACCTTTGACCCTTATGATAGTAAAACTTTGTGTGGTATCTGAGATATAACTGTGATACCATAGAACTTAGGTTGCCCAAACTTGGTAGTGGATGCATTATTGGAACCATACTAAATTTAGGTCATTATGACCTTGACTTTGACCCCCATTTTTAATATCTTGAAGTTTTCTTTTTTTGAACATGGACTTGAATGTTGTTAATTAAGACTCACAATTTGGACAGTTGTCAGGGATTCTTTTTGATAAATGTAAGCATTAAATTCAGAATACAAATTGAAAAATTTAGTTCTTGTCAGTTTTTGAGATTTGCCAATTATCATTGTATGATTATGCATATATCATTATGCCAACAAATGACCTTTTAAAATAGATTATATTACAAAGAAAAATTAGTTTGGGAATGTTTAAGACTGAAAAGGGCTTTGTGTCCATGAGCTAGAAGGTCAACACATCAAATATTCATTTCTCATCTAAAAATAGCAGATCAAACTTTAAACAATAATTAACTATGAGGTTTAGCACAATCTGCATTACCAATTCAATAGTCCAATTCTATATTAAAAAACACCATTCTAGAATACATTTGTTTGAATGCTAAGTTGACAATAATATGGAAACAGAAGTCAGTTAAACTCAGAAACCAGTTTTAAAATTTTTAAATAAGAATCAGAATATTTAATTTTGACCTGGGTTAATAATTTCAGACAAAGTCATTTAATATTGATTATGAACCGAAAGCCACTTTCTTCAGCTTCCTTTGTCTGTAGTACTCTGTACTTCTAAATTAAGGGCTTCTAAAAATCAATACATTTATGCTGATTCAAATATTGACATCATATGTCATTAATCAACAGTGTCAATCAGTCAGCATGAAGCTAAAATTCTGTGCAGCCAAGTTAACAAATATGTGGAGATATATGTAGTTGTTTTGCTTTATATTCTATCACTTTATTACTGTGCACAAACTATAGAATTGAAATAATCATTGAATAGTAAATGATTATATCCACTTACAAGACACCATTCTGACCCTTATTAGAACCAGTCAAATGCAAGCATTACAAAATAATTATATAAGAACCAGTCAATTGCAAGCAATATATAATAATTCTATAAGCACCATTCAATTTTACAGTACAAGGATTCCACTGATATTCCTAACTATTACATTTGTTGTAATTTAATACAAGTACCATTATTTGTAAGTCAAATAAAAACTGCACATTTCACATGTGACATCTGACATCATACAACCAACTGTATGTTGTTAAGACATTGTCAACAATGCTACATCAAAACTGAGTAAGAATACATAGTCATAGAAAGAGATAGAGCTCTTCAGTTAGCATTTCTACTTAAAAAGCCAATGTTATATAAAAAGCATTTTTTTTACATAAAAGGTCAATGTTCTATAAAAAGCATTTCCCACATAAAAAGACAATGTTATATGAAAAGCATTTTCCACATAAAAAGCCAATGTTAAATTAAAAGCATTTTCTACATAAAAGGCCAATGTAAAAATCATTTTCTACCTAAAAAGCCAATGTTATATAAAAAGTATTTTCTACCTAAAAAGCCAATGTTATATAAAAAGCATTTTCTACATAAAAAGCCAATTTTTTATATAAAAAGTATTTTCTACCTAAAAAGCCAATGTTATATAAAAAGCATTTTCTACCTAAAAAGCCAATTTTTTATATAAAAAGCATTTTCTACATAAAAAGCCAATGTTAAATAAAAAGTATTTTCTACGTAAAAAGCCAATGTTATATAAAAAGTATTTTCTACATAAAAAGCCAATGTTATATAAAAAGTATTTTCTACATAAAAAGCCAATTTTATATAAAAAGCATTTTCTTCAAAAAAAGCCAATGTTTTATAAAAAGCATTTTCTTCAAAAAAAGCCAATGTTATATAAAAAGCATTTTCTTCAAAAAAAGCCAATGTTATATAAAAAGCATTTTCTTCAAAAAAAGCCAATGTTATATAAAAAGCATTTTCTACCTAAAAAGCCAATGTTATATAAAAAGCATTTTCTTCAAAAAAAGCCAATGTTTTATAAAAAGCATTTTCTTCAAAAAAAGCCAATGTTATATAAAAAGCATTTTCTACCTAAAAAGCCAATGTTATATAAAAAGCATTTTCTTCAAAAAAAGCCAATGTTATATAAAAAGCATTTTCTACATAAAAAGCCAATGTTATATAAAAAGTATTTTCTACCTAAAAAGCCAATGTTATATAAAAATCATTTTCTACATAAAAAGCCAATTTTTTATATAAAAAGTATTTTCTACCTAAAAAGCCAATGTTATATAAAAAGCATTTTCTACCTAAAAAGCCAATTTTTTATATAAAAAGCATTTTCTACATAAAAAGCCAATGTTATATAAAAAGTATTTTCTACATAAAAAGCCAATTTTTTATATAAAAAGTATTTTCTACATAAAAAGCCAATGTTATATAAAAACTATTTTCTACATAAAAAGCCAATGTTATATAAAAAGTATTTTCTACATAAAAAAAACAATGTTATATAAAAAGCATTTTCTTCAAAAAAAGCCAATGCCATATAAAAAGCATTTTCTTCAAAAAAAGCCAATGTTATATAAAAAGCATTTTCTTCAAAAAAAGCCAATTTTTTATATAAAAAGTATTTTCTACCTAAAAAGCCAATGTTATATAAAAAGCATTTTCTACCTAAAAAGCCAATTTTTTATATAAAAAGCATTTTCTACATAAAAAGCCAATGTTATATAAAAAGTATTTTCTACATAAAAAGCCAATTTTTTATATAAAAAGTATTTTCTACTTAAAAAGCCAATGTTATATAAAAAGCATTTTCTACATAAAAAGCCAATGTTATATAAAAAGTATTTTCTACATAAAAAGCCAATGTTATATAAAAAGCATTTTCTTCAAAAAAAGCCAATTTTTTATATAAAAAGTATTTTCTACCTAAAAAGCCAATGTTATATAAAAAGCATTTTCTTCAAAAAAAGCCAATTTTTATATAAAAAGTATTTTCTACCTAAAAAGCCAATGTTATATAAAAAGCATTTTCTTCAAAAAAAGCCAATGTTATATAAAAAGCATTTTCTTCAAAAAAAGCCAATGTTATATAAAAAGCATTTTCTTCAAAAAAAGCCAATTTTTTATATAAAAGGTATTTTCTACCTAAAAAGCCAATGTTATATAAAAAGCATTTTCTACCTTAAAAGCCAATGTTATATAAAAAGTATTTTCTACATAAAAAGCCAATGTTATATAAAAAGCATTTTCTTCAAAAAAAGCCAATTTTTTATATAAAAAGTATTTTCTACCTAAAAAGCCAATGTTATATAAAAAGCATTTTCTACCTAAAAAGCCAATTTTTTATATAAAAAGTATTTTCTACATAAAAAGCCAATTTTTTATATAAAAAGTATTTTCTACATAAAAAGCCAATGTTATATAAAAAGCATTTTCTACATAAAAAGCCAATGTTATATAAAAAGTATTTTCTACATAAAAAGCCAATGTTATATAAAAAGCATTTTCTTCAAAAAAAGCCAATGTTATATAAAAAGCATTTTCTTCAAAAAAAGCCAATGTTATATAAAAAGCATTTTCTTCAAAAAAAGCCAATTTTTTATATAAAAAGTATTTTCTACCTAAAAAGCCAATGTTATATAAAAAGCATTTTCTACCTAAAAAGCCAATTTTTTATATAAAAAGCATTTTCTACATAAAAAGCCAATGTTATATAAAAAGTATTTTCTACATAAAAAGCCAATTTTTTATATAAAAAGTATTTTCTACTTAAAAAGCCAATGTTATATAAAAAGCATTTTCTACATAAAAAGCCAATGTTATATAAAAAGTATTTTCTACATAAAAAGCCAATGTTATATAAAAAGCATTTTCTTCAAAAAAAGCCAATTTTTTATATAAAAAGTATTTTCTACCTAAAAAGCCAATGTTATATAAAAAGCATTTTCTTCAAAAAAAAGCCAATGTTATATAAAAAACATTTTCTTCAAAAAAAGCCAATTTTTTATATAAAAAGTATTTTCTACCTAAAAAGCCAATGTTATGTAAAAAGCATTTTCTACATAAAAAGCCAATGTTATATAAAAAATATTTTCTACATAAAAACCCAATGTTATAAAAAAAGTATTTTCTACATAAAAAGCCAATGTTATATAAAAAGCATTTTCTACCTAAAAAGCCAATTTTTTATATAAACAGCATTTTCTACATAAAAAGCCAATGTTATATAAAAAGTATTTTCTACATAAAAAGCCAATGTTATATAAAAAGTATTTTCTACATAAAAAGCCAATTTTATATAAAAAGCATTTTCTTCAAAAAAAGCCAATGTTATATAAAAATCATTTTCTACCTAAAAATCCTATTTTTTATATAAAAAGCATTTTCTACCTAAAAAGCCAATTTTTAGCTCACCTGGCCCGAAGGGCCAAGTGAGCTTTTCTCATCACTTGGCGTCCGTCGTCCGTCGTCGGCGTTAACTTTTTACATTTTGAACTTCTTCTAGAGAACCACTGAAT